CGTCACCAAACAACATAAGTCTCCTCTTCCGAGGAAAAGATGAATCCTGTTATAGATAACAATACAAAGTGTTAGTATATGTGCGATTAATTTAAGATCAGTAAAGGAATTCGAGGAATGTCTGGGTAACATTTATTGGCGACAGAACTAAATTGGACATAGTCAGAGACAAAGAGGGGAACAAATCGCAAGCCTACTTTAAATGGGTGGGAAAAAAATGGTTCTAGGTATTGAGGACGTCCATAAAAAAAATCTCTGCGACTGAAAGTTAAGGGGCGCATGGCTAGTACTGTCGTCATGGACTGCAGGTTTGATTTTTATTTTTGCCCAGGTTACAAAAAAAAAAAAAAAAATTATGAAAAAAAACAATTACATCCTTATTGAAGATTCGAACCCAGGTGTCCTTATCTTCTTCTTAGCACTGATCGACTGCAGACACTAGTGGAAAGTTGTGGTTATTCGTCCACTTCTGGACTTTGGTCTTGCTCCATGAGGTGAGTTTTTAGTTCAAATCCGTTTTTAAAAATCGGGCTTCTTTGTATGCAGACTCTTGGTTCCTCGGCTTTCAGGCAGATGCAGTCCGAAATGGAAGTGAACGCTCCAGTTCACTGCCTTTAACTACATACTCTGTAGAAGAGCAGTTTGTTTTATCTTTATTTGCCAGATCAACATCATGGCACTCGGATGTAACCCATAATGCTCTGTTCTACTTCTAACTCAAACATGAGTCTGAAGAATCTCAGCGCAGCGCACTAACTCCGTTGCACCGGCGAAGATCCTGAAACCCTTTGGGTAGATTTTTACCTGCAATGTTTTTTTTTTGCAGGGGCAGTGCCGTTAGACTTTTCTTTTCGATTTTCAAATCAAGGCATTTGCCGAGGGATTTTTTTTACGTGCGCAAGAATACACATGGGCGCCCGATCTGACTACCCTGAGACCAGGGGAAATTTCTAGAAGTCCATGTGAAAAAAATCCCAGCCCCCACCGGAACTTGAACACGGGACCTCCAGCACTCGAGGCGGACACCATACCTCGAGACCACTCAGGCCCGTGGTATATTCTATGTTCACCCAGAATGGTGTCCGGAAACCATCAGAGGAATATTTTTGTATTTGAAAACAAAGGCTTCGCTTACATCGTCCAGGGCTGCCTGTAGTTCCTGTCGGTCAATGTTTTCATTTTTATCAGCATTGTGCTTGTTCAGCGCCTGAAAATAGACACAATATAAATATCAAAACTATTCCTTTATCTGCTGTTAAACAACGCCACACACAACCACACCCCCCACCCCCACCCCACCCCCCACAAATAGACACACAAAATGCGCAGTTTATTGCTTTGCATATTTCTCTATTTCTCGGCAATAAATTGTGCAAACTGGTGTTTGTGTCGTTTTTTTAAATTTTAAAAACGCCAATATATTAGGATGCAAACAGATGATAGGTATAACGTGGTTAAATATCAATAAATTATAACGGTCAACGATTGAAGATAGGTAAAATTAATATGTAATCTTCTACTTCTTCGCGTTCACTGGCTATAAACAAAAGCGGAAGGTTGTGGTTTTTCGTCCACTTCTAGACTTCAGTCCAGATAATAACCAAGATTTTATGTGCTGTAAATAAATTACAAATATTAGTTAAATACACATTAGACTTTCATGCAGATGCACTCCGAATTCGAAGAAAAGAAGAGAATTAAAATGTTGAATCTTAAAAAAAAAAAATTAATTATGAAACAATGCACAAAATAACTTCGAAACCTGAAACTTTGTTCCACCTTATAAACACATTTGTCTTTAAATAAATGGGCATAACAAACAATAAAATAGGGCGTCCTTACATGTAGAAAAGCATTCATTGCTCTGACCAATCTTCTGTGTTCACGGTCTGTTTTAAGCTGTAACTTCTTATTCTTGATCTTTTCTCTGCAAAACAATTAGTAGGTTTTTTAATAGGATAAGCCAAATTTCAATACACAAGATATGTTTCTGTTGTCTGAACGGACTGTTACAGTGCAATGAGTCAGTGTGTTTTCAGGTTTCAGTGAATACCATCATCATTTAGTAGGCCCTTTGCAGAGCGTCGCTCTCGCCACGGTCTGCATTCAAGACGCTCCATCTCTCAACAGCTCTCCCGCCTCATGTACTTTCGTATTCAAGTGAATATTGCCTTTGCGAACATTGTTTTTATATGCTATAACATAGCAGCAACAATGGAAGGCAGGTAGTTTGCACCCCAGAAGGACATCACACAAGCGATAAATACCCTGTGACACAGAGTGCCACCATGCGGATGAGGATCACCCGTGGAGATGTCCCGGAAACCCCGTTCTGCTGATAGGCACTATCTGAGGCCTGACAATATTTAGGGCACCCGGCAGAAGCCACAATGGGGCTTCAAAATAACTAAAAATTGCATCCCACATAGGAACACCGACAAACTGTAAGCAACAATGCGTTTCCAATACACAGATATGACTCTTAACACGCAATTGAATAATGGTTTGTTAATAACAAAAAAAAAAAAAAATCAATAATAGGAAGAGGAAAAAAACAACGACAGAAAACGCTGAAATAGAAACAATAAGTTTTACAGCAGCACACTCAGGAATGATAGATGTGTGTTACAGTTTGTTATCACACAGACCCACACAAACCCACAACAACAAACACAAATAAACAAACCTGTAAAAATGACAGTAAGGCGTAAAACATGGATTCTGGAGGGAAGCCATTGTATTGTGCTGGACTACATAGAGCACATCATTCAAATTGTACCAAGATAAGTTAACAGGAAGTAACCCAGTTAAATCGTTTACGAGGCAATGTTTAAAAGTCTTCTTTTTAAAAGTGATCAAATCTGTAAATCAAAGCAATGTTTCTCCACTGTAGATTTGAACAAAGAAGTCACAAACAGTCGACTGCCTTTTTTTACTGCCTGGCATATTTCGCTGAATCTCGTCTGGAACACAATGAATCAAATCAATAAATCCTTGTAACAGGCAGCTACTTTTGTGTGTGCTTGATTCCCCCCCCCCCCCCCCCCCCAGTTAGGATTCATTTATCTGCTTTATTATATTCTTTTGTGTTCATCGGCTGCAAACTCAAACGTCAGTTTCTGGTTGTTCGTCCACTTCTGGTCGTTTGTCATGTTATAGAACTTGGGTTGTGTCTGTACATCAATTTTACAGAACTGGTATGTTTGTATGCAGACCGTTCGTTAGTTTGTTCGTTCTGTTTGAATTAGCAACGTTCAACCTCTGAATAAGGAACAAGCCTCGGTTATAATTATGGCAACAAACTGTGCTGCTTTTTCATTGTGTAGTGTTTGGTGCTAATATTTTATGTCTTCCGTGTCTCTCTGGCCGGCCAGGTCGTGTCCTCTTCACTGTGCAGTCTTAGTTCTGATAAGGTGATGTGTTCCTTATTGTTTTATCCGTTGGTGGTATTACTGCCATTGATAGGTTTGTATCCTTAGCTATTCGTGTTGATATTTCTGTACCAGTTCTTCCTGTTGTTTAGTAGCTGTCATCCCTGTTGTTCTGCCAGTAGGACCTCAGTTGCGATAACGATCGTGGTCAGGCTTTATCAACATTGTCGGTATGTGGTCTTCGACCATATCGCTGAAACAGATGTTCCAGACGGTCATTCTGTTGCTTGCTTAGAATGTTTTCTTCTGGATCAGATGCAATCTTTTTTATTTTCGTTGGTTAATCGCCATATTGATATAATCTGTACGCTACTAGTCGTCGTTGCTCCTGTGACATTTATCTGAAGTCTGTGTGGATCTTTTCACCAGCTCTGTAATGGTTTTCTTTGGTACAGCTGCTCTACCCCTCATAAGGTCTTGGATTTGGCTTTTCAGTTTACATTTTCTTCTTTTTTTTCGGTTTGGGAGATCCCATATCCACGATGTTGTATATTCTACGTTGGTCTGTTGGTTCGCCGTTCAGGCAGATGTACTCAGACGTCAACGGAAACATCGCTTATTATTCTCTTTTTAAGACGTGCTTGGTATGGGACCGTGGGTCAAATTCTTTTTACCCTCACAACAGGATACCCCCCCCCCCCCAAATAGACACAAGGAAATGTAATAGAAATAAAGGTGACCGCTGTGATGTTAACAATGTCACCCACTGTATGCCATTTGATCTATACAAACAAAAAAAAAAAAACTCTAGAACCCTATGCCTGATGTGCCAGGGGTCTAAAGAAAAAGGTCCTTTTACGTTACTGATTCTGGCAGTACGTAGTACCGGCACTTTTTTAGGCATAATTTTTCAGCACTACTAAAATAGACACTTTGTAACGAGTACCAGTACCATTTCTTAGACATTTTATAGCGAGTACCAGCATCTTTTTAGGCATAAAATTTCAGCACTACTGTAATAAGCGGCGTCCGTGGCTTAGGCGTTGCGAGTCCGACTCCTAATTCCAACGTACCGCAATCGAAACCCACTGCTGGCTGCGTGGATTTTTATCAAGGTATAGGGTGTCGCAGGCCGACCCAGCCTAAAATGGGTACCAGAATGGTTGTCCTTGGGAAGTAAACACGGCCGGCGTAATGCTGAATATATTACCCACCCAGTGTCGATTGGTGTGTAAAAATATTGGACGCTCTTCCCATATACCCGATGCGCCTAAGGCGTAAAAAGGGATCTTTCCTTTTTTTTTTTTTTTACTTTACTACTGTAATAAACACTTTGTGACGAATACAGGTACTTTTTAGGCCTAATTTTTCAGCACTACGATAAAAAACACTTTGTGATGAGTACCAGCACCTGTTTCGACAGTTAATGGCGAGTACAACCACCTTTCCATTCTAGAAAAAAAAAAAAAAATCCCTGAGCATTACAGATTAAAATATGAAACACTAGAAATAAAATGAAGCAAAACTTGCATAAATGGCTTGTATAATGTAGAACGCCGTGTACGCATGTTTTTCTTAGTGTATTTTCAGTGTTACGTATTAATGCTAACTGAATGGGAAAACACAGACCTTGCTAACTTTGTGTTTGGGAGCTCTTGAAGCTCTACGCCATGGCGTAAGTTCTCTAGCTGGTACTTTAGTAAGTCTTGCTCGTTGTCCGAGTACTGAAATAGATAAACTTATTTAGTATTTGAATATATAATGATGTTTCAGTTATGGTCTCAGGAAAGAAAATCAGCTGACAGTCTTTCGCATATATCAATTAGGTTATTGCAAAGTAAAATGAAATAAAAATAAAGGAAGTGATGGTCTTCTTTCTTCACAGACTTCTCCATCCAGAGGACGGTCAGTAATTTCAGCGACAACTGAATTTTACCCCCCCCCCCCCATTTTTTTTTCAATTTCCGTCCGACAAACACACACTGACGCATGCACCCGCAAAAATGCACACACACGCGCGTGTACACATATATACACAAAGAGATATACCTAATTTACAATCAGAACTATTATAAAATCCACTGAGAGTCTAGCCTTTATGTCTCTGTCAAAATCCAATATAATCTAGATAGCACAGCAGAGATATAGTTGCTAAGGAACTGTTTTCTGGGCTCCAGCAGTAGTCAGCCAGAGCAAATGACTTCTCATTTTCAAAGTAGCATTTATGTGAGCCCAATAGTAGTCAGTCAGAATATTGACCTATACTTCTTTTCTATGTAGCCCTTTCTTGAGTCTAAACATAGGCAGTCAGTATATCTGAGAACTACTTTCCTACGTGGCGCTTTCGGGGTTTAAAAGTAGTCAGCATATTTGACAGATACTTCTCATTTTAGGCAGCACTTTTCTGGGTCTAACTGTAGTCAGTCAGAACAATTCACCTCTACTTCTTTCCCAGATAGCACATTCCTTTACCTAGCAGAAGTCAGAATATTTGACCTATACTCCTTTCCCAAGAAGCAATTTCCTGTGTCTAGCAATAATCAGTCAGAATATTTGACCTATACTCCTTTCCCAAGTAGCAATTTCCTGTAACTAACAATAATCGGTCAGAATATTTGACCTATACTCCTTTCCCAAGTAGCAATTTCCTGTAACTAACAATAATCGGTCAGAATATTTGACCTATACTCCTTTCCCAAGTAGCAATTTCCTGTAACTAACAATAATCGGTCAGAATATTTGACCTATACTGCTTTCGTAGATAGCGTTTTCCTGTTATCAGTCAGAATATTTGACCTATACTGCTTTTGTAGATAGCATTTTCCTGTGTGTAACAGTTATCAGTCAGAATATTGACATCCACTTTCGCATGTAGCATTGTCCTACGTCAATAGGCTGTGTAAGAATCTTTGGCCTATGCTTTTCTATGTAACATTTGTATGGGTTCAACAGGAGTCGGTAAACTTACTCGACATCTAGTTTCCTATGTAGTATTTTTTTTTTAAACACCAATAAAGAACTGATAAATAATTGTAAATGTGTGCATTTTATTTGGTAAAGTATTACCACAACAGTAAAGAAGAAGAAGAAGAAATAGAAGAAGAAGAAGAAGAAGAAGAAGAAAAAGAAGAAGCAGAAGAAGAAGAAAAAGAAGAAAAAAGAAGAAGAAGAAGAAGAAAGAAAGAATAAAAGAAAAGAAGGAAAAGAAAAAAGTAGAAGAAAAAGAGAAGGTGGAAGAGGTACTGGGATGTGGGGGTTGGGGGGGGGGGGGGGGGGGGGTTGGGGTGGGGGAGGGGGGAGGGGGGGGGAGAGGGACACATTTAACTACATGTGTTAAATTCATACCAGTTGCATCCCCAGGGTTCTATCATTGTAGGTACCAAATCGTTCACTTCTTTCTAGGAGCCTTGGAATATCCTCCAAGGGCTGAAGTTTCTCCAGGAAGTTGTCCTCCGGTTTCATTGACAACCACCAGCCTGGACATCAAGATACATTGCATTTCATTTTTTGCTTTGTCAGATTAAATAAATAGATGATAGCAACAACTTACAACATAAACTTTTCCTTGTCGCGTGTATTCCAATTATCCTTTACATACTTATTCCTCCGGAATCAGTACCTTTCAATTACTCTGCTCCTTTCTTCTTCTTATTTCTCTCTCTCTCTCTCTGTCTCTGTCTCTGTCTCTCTGTCTCTCTGTCTCTCTCTCTCTCTCTCTCTCTCTCTCTCTCTATATATATATATATATATATATATATAAATATATATATATATTTATATATATAATCATGTAGGAGGTCCTTTGCAGAACGTCGCTCTCATCACAGTCTGCTTGACAGAAACTCGGTCTCTCGCCAGTTCTCCCGCCTAATGCATTTTCACATTCAAGGAGTAACCTATATCCTGTGCCCATCTTCGTGTCGGTCGGCCCCTGTCCCTCCTTTTCTGGTGGTACCATGCCTTCTGCTATGATTTTTTTTCAATCCGTCGTGGCGCTTGATATGACCAAAATATTTCAGCTTTCGAGAAAGGATGCTGTTTATTAGCCAATCTTTCTTAATGTTCAGATCTTTCAAGATGTCAATATCTCATCTTCTTTGTCCAAGATATTCTGAGAATCTTTCTATAACATTTCAGCTCAAAAGCCCGTATTCTATTTCTCAAGGACTGAGAGATAGTCCACGACTCACATCCGTATGTAGCCACAGGGAAGATGCATGCTCTCAAAATTCTAATTTTGATCTCCTTGATGGTACTGAACCATAGACTTTTAAGGCTGTTGAATCTTTGCATTTATATATATATATATATATATATATATATATATATATATATATATATATATATATATATACAAAATATTTTATCACGAATAATGTAAAAGTACAGTCTACAAGGTCTAAAACGCACGTAAATGCTCGAAGCAAAGTTCTATGTTAAGCTCATAACATAATTTGCTAAGTCTATATTAATCAGCATGGATTAAAAGTTAGCAAATTTCGAGTTTAAATTTTATACAAACTAGCGAAGAAAAGCACATTTTAAAATATTTCTGGCAAACACATTCTATGGTGCTAGATCCATGAGTTTCTGAAAATATTTGTATTCTATAATGTTTCCATCACTTGTGCCTAAGTTAGTTACCTCTGTGGGCTCTCTAAGCCTTAGGTGAGCAGTTATCTGTATGGCTTTTGAGGTAGTCTTAGGAAGTAATATTACACGACGCTAACCACAGCTGCACAGACAAGATTTTAAAAGCGAGATAATCGATCAGACTGCACTGGGTCTTATCCGATTTGGCTCGGTCTCTGAACAGAGTGGTAATTCCTCCTCAGAGTCTCCGTGGCAAAGTGGCCAAGCCGTTTGCCTCGCACTTTGAAAGTCGTGTGTTCGTTTAACGGCGACAGCACCGTTCAGTTCATGAGTGCAATTTTTAACAGAGATCTATGGGATCGTCGCTGAAGCTACGGAGGTCGGGCTCTGTGCGACGCTCTTGGCAGGCAGCTAGCTGTTCTGTGGAAAGATACTGAGCTTTATGGTGTAAAACCCGGTGCAGTGAATTCGATCCTCTCACTTTTACCCCCCCCCCCCTTTTTACAAGTGCATGGGACAATCCGCGAAACACAATAGCTTTAGTGACAACTCTAATCTCAGAAACAGCTGCTCAAGCAAAAAAAAAAAAAACACCCTTCGAGTGTGTTACGAGTTTCCTCTGTAGGCTCCGGTGCCCCATTGTGAAAAAAAAAAAAAAAAAGAACAAACTTAACTGCCCCCAAGAATGTTGTTTAAGGTGACTGATTAGGGGTGTTTGCTTCGAAGTCGGAGTGCATTCGGCTGAGAGACAACGAACCATCAGTCTGCATACAAATACGACAGATTTGTAAAACGTATATGCCCGCGAAAAGCTAGCTGGGGAACAAGACCAGAGACCAGAAGCGGATGCACAACTTGAACATTTCCTTCATCATCATCATCATCATCATCATCATCATCATCATCATCATCATCATCATCATCATCATCATCTTCTTCTTCTTCTTCTTCTTCTTCTTCTTCTTCTTCTTCTTCTTCTTCTTCTTCTTCTTCTTCTTCTTCTTCTTCTTCTTTCGTTTCCTTTAAATAGATTATCTATATCTGCAATGTTTACTCTAGTATGAGACATTGTAACATTTTCCCGACACCTCCTGGTCTAAAGATATATTCGGCACATAGGGTAAACAGTGCTAGACCTATATTTTTTATAGACTAATAGTCACCGATGGAGGGTATGGCAAACATCCCGCGTGTCACCTTTTCTACATAGATAAATCTAATACCCATTCCAGGCTTGGTCGACCTGGGAGCCAATGTTAATTGTGAAGAACAATCAAAACCGCCATGTTCGGTGCAGATTTGAATCATAGAACGCATAATCCGCAGGCGAGCGACTAGCCATACACATACCATGCATATGTGTGTGTGTGTGTGTGTGTGTGTGTGTGTACGTGTGAGTGGGTGTGTATACGTGCGAGTGTGTGTGTATGTGTGTGAGTGTGTATGTGTGTGAATCACGTGACACACGTGCTAGGAATACAGGCCATATGCAAATGTATGCAACAAATTAGTCATGTCTTCGTCGTTCAGACCGAGTATAATTTCTCTCTGGTGCCTTTTGTAACGTGGGCAGGGTATTTCACGTCCTATTAGCATGAAAGAGAGTGGCCGTAGGGTAACGGCTGGATGCTCGCCTGCAGATCGGAAAGTTGTGGGTTCGGGTAGTGACGGAGCCAGACTTTGAAAAAAAAAATGACCTTGGCTTCCAGGTGGACCCAGCCTGAGTAGGTACGAGGTGCAGTTCTGGGAAGTAAAGGCGGCCGGCGTGATGCTGACCAGATCAAACATCGAGTGCTAATTGGTCTATAAAAATAGATCTAGCCCTATATGCCTATTACGTCTAAAGACCTGAAAAAGGGTCATTCACTTACTCAGTATTAGAAAAAAGGTTAGAGTTGAGAGCATTGACTTGATTACACCGGATTTTATACCATATGATACTGTGTCTCTCCGCAGAACTACTGGCCGCCGGCCGAGAGTGATGCACAAAGCACGAACATTTTAGCTCCTGTGACGATCCTCAGGGTTCTCCGTAAAAATCGCACTCTTGAACCGAACGACGCAACAATGAAACGAATCAACGACCTTCAGATATTATCATGGGTAGATATTGTAGAAGTGAACATAGTTTTTATTTACATTACTGCAACAGTGATCATTCCAGAGAAGAACTAACGCTAATATAGCAACTAGCAATTGTCTTTGGGACACTAACTGTTTAGCACTCACACATTATACACCGTTGCCTACGATACTGAGTGACCAGCTTCTCTCCCCATCGACTCTCTTTTCCAGACAATTCCCAGAAAATGCTGATAACTTATCTGATACATTTTTAGTAGGTCGGGTTAACAGCACTGGTCGCGGCGAAAAACCTGGATTATTTTGTTTAACAAACTGAGACACTTTATGCGACCGTTTTTTGAGATCATTTGTTTGTGAACTGTAGAATTTTGTTATTGTTTGAGTAGGGAAATTGCATCTCTGGAGGTGTGACCAGAAAAGATACAATTGCACACGATGTCAACAGAAACCCAATTAGCAAATACATACAAAGACAGGACATGAAATTGTTTGCCAACTTAGATAAACTACCTTTTGACGCCATATTGCACAAGACATACATTGAAAGAGAAGAAGGATGTAGAGCACAAAGTAGATGAAGAACAAAATGGAAAGACAGTATCAGAGAAACTCTACAACATTTTTGTCTATGGTCAAGGCGACCAAAAAAGCAAGTAGCAGAACCTTTTATTTCCCTTGACTCCCAAAGCAGTAAGAAAGGAAATGGAGAAGAAGAAGAAGAAGAAGAAGAAGAAGAAGAAGAACAAGAAGAAGAAGAAGAAGAAGAAGAAGAAGAAGAAAAAGAAGAAGAAGAAGAAGAGGAAGAAGAATAAGGAGACACAGACAGAGAAATGTAAATGGGAATGACAACTGCACTGACTAAATTGCTTCATATCTGCAGGTCGATAGGCAGCTACTGTCTAGAATGATGAAATAAATGGGAAAGGAAGGGGGGGGGGTGGTAAGAATAAAACAAAAAGGGGGAGGTGTGTGTGTGTGTGTGTGTGTGTGTGTGTGTGTGTGTGTGTGTGTGTGTGTGTGTGTGTGTGTGTGTGTGTGTGTGTGTGACTGCTGCCGGGCTGATTGCAAGAAATGCTAAATATAACACACAATTTGACTAGAAAGCTCAACGAAGTGAATGGAAATGACGCACACAAACACAACCAAACGTTTCGACTAAAGTCTTCATCAACGCAGTACTAAATGCAGCACAAACAACATAATTTCCATTCTCTCCGTTGAGCTTTCTAGTCGAATTATGTGTTATATTTAGCTAGTGTCTAGAAGCCTAACAGGTAGATCATTTATAATATTGATACAGAAATATACCTAAAACATCAACATAAATAAGCTAGCTAACCCTCGTCCATTTCACGGCAAGCCTTTTTACACGGCTTTCCAGCTTAGATTGATCTAATGAGGAACAGGTGAACTTGCACTAGGATTAAAAGAAGGGCTTTTTTTTTTGGAGGTGAGCAACATAACGCAGTATCAGCATCTGTAGTTTTTTTTTTCAGTGAAAATAATCGTTGTAGATTTCGTAAAACTTAGATTATACAGCCGGCAGGAGAGCGTGCTAGTCATATCTCAGCCATGACTCATACCTCAGTATGACATGTATCTGGTATTGTTGTCACCCCGCCCCCCTCCTAAACCCCCTTCACACGCCTTTCCAGAGTAACGCTGCCACTATAGTCCGTTTTATTTTTTTTCAAAATTTTATAATTCGTGCTGTTCTATTTTCATAATAAACAAATAGACAGTGTATTGATTGGCACTCATAGAAAGAAGTAGAAAGTTAGATGAACGAACTAGACAACATAAAAATCGAAAGCTATAGTTACCGTGCAGGGAATGGAACCTGTCACCTCTAAATAGTCTGCGCGCCTAGCTATGGAAACAAGTGTACAAAGACACGGTTAACTAGGCACCTCCTAACAAAGGTGTCTTTATTGGCCATGTCAATCGTACAGCTTGAAATCCACAATTATGGAACACGGACAGAATTAATCTCAAACCATTGAGATGGCACCATAGGTTACAGAAATGTATATTAACGAAGCATGGGTCGAAAAACAAACACAGCAACGATTTACAAACACAGTAGACCGTAATGCTTTGTCTCGATAACTTGATTTTTGTTTTTGCATGGGCTCATATTTTCATCTCGACGTTAATGTTTTGTAGACAAATAATATAGAGAAAACCCAGTTTTATCGAAACAGACGCTTCATTTATTATTTTCAAAGCTCAGTGGCTTTAGAATCATCACCTTACAAAACACTTTTGGGAAGGTCTTGGAGAAGATAGTTGCTGTAAAGCTGCATGAATTTTTGGAAAGGGGGAAGTTTCTCCCAAGAGGTCTGGGAAGCTTCAGGCCAGGAAAGGACACATAGGAAAATGCGGCCACTGTTGCTTTTGACGTCTATGAAGGGTTCCAGAACAGACGGGAAACTATGGCGGTAGGACTAGATCTCGAGGATGCTTATCACAGAGTAAGATACAACATCTTGATGACTGCACTGAAGGAGAGGTCAGTCCATGGATGGTGAATTGAATTGCAGCTGTCCTGTATTCACGTCGGGCTGCCCTTCGACTGGGCTCATGGACCTCAGAACCATACAGTTTGGCCTCAGGATTGCCACAGGGATTCGCTATCTCGCCTGTGCTCTTTAACGTGTATACGAGCAAGATTGCAAGCCTAGAAGCATCAGGATTTTGAAGGATACTGATTTTTGCGGATGGTATACTTCCATATAGGCAGGGGGAAGAGAGGGAACAAACCGCCTGAGAGCTACAAGCGACAGTGGACAAATTGACTGAGTGGTGTACAGAAATGAGGGCTGTCGTCCATCCGGAAAAGGGTCTGTTTTGTGGTGTTATCTGGACAACAGGCTCGTTAAAGCTAATGTCCCAAGTCTTACAATAGATGGTAGAAACATCAATAGAGAGAGCAAACTGAAGTGTCTGGAAATTACATTTGACAGGAGCCTGTCCTTTAAGAAACATGTGGAGAGTATTGTGGCAAGTGGCCATAAAGGACTTAGTGCACTTAAGACTATGGCTGCAACTGACATAGAGTAGAGAATGCTTTACACACTATATCAGCACCTGATCCTGTCAGTGGTTGATTATAGCCTGGGAATGCTTACCGTCTCAAAGAGCCAGATGGACAAACTAGAGCGCATACAGAACGCAGCAATGCGGGTCATTCTGGGATGCTTCAAAGACACCCTAGTTGTGTGTATGCAATACATCCTTGGTTTGCCGACTGTTACAGGTAGGCGCAAGGTGCTGCAGGTGAAGTCATAGCTTAGACACAGACCACTCTTTGCACTAAGCTCTGGGTGCAGTTAAGGGTCAGCGGCTGAAAAGAGGGAAGTCATTGATGGCTCAGGCAGAAGACACAATCAGACAAGTTTGCATCCTTGGGAACATTAGGCGAGGAGAGGAGTGGGTCAAAGTGCCACCACCAGAACAGTCAGACTTGTGTAGGGTCGTAATCACACTGAGCCGGGAATGCAGAGACTGGCCAGCAGGTGCCACAGAGGTGGAAATTCAGCAATTAATTCAAGATAATGCTCACTCAGAGGATTTGATCATTTGCACAGACGGTTCAGTGTCAAGAGGCAAAAGAAGTGTTTGGGGTTTCTTAGCAAAAGTTAATGGTCGACATTTGGTGCAGTAGAGCCTAGCATATGATACCACAACACCCAGCTTAAGAATGGGGGTGGAGGCGGTCACTGCGGCTTTCCGCTGGTTAGAGAACACGACACACACACATTGTGATTGTAACTGACTCAGAAAGCATGCTGAGGAAGATCAGGATAGGCATGCTTCGAGCAGAGTGGCATGCCTCGCTGCGGAAGACACGGGTGAGGAGTATTGTCTGGATTCTTCCACCAGGGAATGCCTGTGTGTTGGGAAATAAACAGGCAGACAGACTGGCTGGCTCTGCACAGATTGGTGGAATACTGATGCATGATAAGGCAGACGTGGTTAGTGCTTTGTGGGAGAGCTTGTACAGTTCGGAGGAGCAGAGTGATCACCACAGTGTGGTGAGATTGATGCAGCTGGGGGTGACGAGAGGTTCTGGCAGATGCTCGAGGCTCAGAGGAAAGGCAAGACGGGCGTTTAATCAGAATGCTACTGGCACCATTAGTATCGGAACTCTTCGCTGGCTGCTGAAGATAGGGACGGAGCGCTTATGGAAATGCCCCGAGTGCTGTGATGTCGGTTTTAGAATTAAATCAAATCAAATCAAATCGCTTGTATAATTTTAGTTGGGTAACAAAAAACATTTTACTGTACCAACGTGAATCGAAGTACGGAAGCATTACATAAATTAGAGGCGTTTGTGCAATTGCTAATCGTTGGGGCGTTAGTCCCTTCACCTCTTAAAAGTTTCGTTCACGTACCTTTGGATATATCAATGCCATGGTTCTGTCTGAGTTTAAGTTGTAAAATCTTCAGTGTCAATAATTATGGATCCTCCAACATTCTGTATATTGTTCGTTTAATAACTTCTTTGTCAAAGCTATCAATTGTCTTTTTCCTGCCTCGCTGAGCACTGGTATGTTTGGACAGAACAGACTCTTCTCTAGTCCGTCTTTAGAATGTCCGGTAGGTAATACCTAGGGTAGGTTTTGTTCTTTTTGTTTTCTCTGGGTTTGAAAAAGAATTATACAGACAATCGCGTTCAGCGTTAGATGATAAATATTGATATAGCTGCTTCGTTATATTTTTGGTCGACGAGGATAATTTCTACTGACGACTGGTAGATCCCTGCTGTACTTGCTCCCTGTGAGTTTATTCCCATTGAAGCGTAATGAATTTAACTTGCAGCGTCATATTGATAACATAAAGAACTAATCGCGCTAACTGCTTTGCAACTTCTGACGAAAACTTCTAACAGCACACGGATTTTACAACTCGTGTCGACACTTTAAGAGCAATCGCCATGGTCTTATTCAGAATTTACATAAAACGCGAGATTGACATGTTTCTGCGAAAAGTCGATTCGTTACATCTAAATTTTAAGCTGTTTAACTCTTAAAATGCAGCCCAGAAAGGATCATCTTATATTTATAATCCTCAAAAAAGCAAACATGAATTCTTAGTACTTGTTATGCAAAAAGGAGGAACAGGAGGAAAAGGGAGGGGTGGGGGGATGACATAACGCTGAAAATTAAATAAATGTTAATATAAAATTTCATCGATTTATATTTCACTACGGCTGAGATATAATAATCTGAACATCGACATCAAGGTCTAAACGCACTATAGCATTACACAGTTTCACTGTGGATCATTACAAATGGCCTAAGGCTCATGTATTTAATTACATATCTATTCCTTGCAGGAAGTTGTCAATCAACCCCAGCCTTTGCTGATTATTCAGAGGGTTTTACTACACAACGAGGAACTGCTTGGCGAACGTTAAGTGCACAAGGCTTTCATGCGGAAGACATATGTTCGAATCCTCAGTAAGGCTGGTGATCCTCTTCTTTTGGAGGGCAAATATAAATCCTAACACTCTCTCCGAGCGTTTTTTTTTTAAAACACTGCAAAAATACTAAATACAGCAAGAAATTGTAATTTTTAACTATACAATTATGCGTTCAGTAATATGACACTATTGTCTGAAAGGTACCGTACTTATACTATTATCACAATCAAAATGGACTACTTCCAAACCTTCGACCGAAGCAGACTTTGAAACCTGGTGAGTAGAAATTATGAAACTGTGTTTGTAACCCCTAGGCTACAGAAGCCGCTGTGGTTAAAACTGAAGCAAATATCAGGAGTCAGGACTAGCTGCGGAGCGACTGAATACACTTGTGAATAAAGTTTGAGCTTACCATCGAAACAATGTATAGGGTAGTTACACAGAACTCCGCCGTCCACATAGATGTCTGTCTGTCCGTACAGAGTGTGTTTCACAGCTTTAAACATTCCTGTGAAATTGAAATCAATCACATAAATCAGGCTAGTAAGGGATTCATATCACACCGTTTTCGAGCCAAGAATGACGGGATCAGTATCTCCCAGTAATTCTTGGCACCTATATCAGAGTAAGCTAACATGGGAACCAATGTTAATTCATCATCATCATCATCAGGTGCCTTGCCGACTGGCGTGGGCGACCATGCCTTTCCAAAATCCGCGATCTCCTGCAGCATGTATCAGTTCGTGTGCCGACACATCTCCATGCCATGCAACAAGACTGTCAAGCATCTTCTCTCGTTGTCTTCCTCTATCCCTCCTTCCACAGATCTTTCCAGTGGTCACAACATGTTCTATTTTCCCTCTTCTCATAACAGTCATCATTTTTCGGCCATGTTATGAGAAGAGGGAAAATAGAACATGTTGTGACCACTGGAAAGATCTGTGGAAGGAGGGATAGAGGAAGACAACGAGAGAAGATTCTTGACAGTCTTGTTGCATTATGTTAATTATACATATAAAAAAATCTGACTTTGTCAAAATTGACCTTGGGTCCTAGGTCGACCCAGTCTAAAATGTGTACAAGCACAGTCCTGGGAAGTAAAAGTGGCCGGTATTATTTTGGTCGCATCCCCCACCAAGTGTCGATGGATCGATACCATACAGGTACAGCCCTATATTCCCAATACGCCGGAAGGAATGGAAAGGATCATTTACGTCTACTAAACATGAAAAAGAGAAGGCAGATAAATATGAACTGAAATAAAAATATATGAACGAAAAGCGTGCAATATGTGCTGTAAGTAAGTACAGTAATATCGTTTTTATATTTTAAATTAATCTGTTATGTTACAAAGCAGCTAAGCTGGCACATATTTCTTGTGGCCCAAATGTTAACCAAATCAAGCAGCCTTGTCCATTTCGTGTAGCGTTGTTTGTAACTATGGCTGTGATCGGTCTCCTGTCTCTTGTACAGACACAAATTTCTAATACAAACATTCTTCTTTGACAAGATACTAAACATTTCATCATCTTCTTTTCTGTTTTCTCTTTGAAAAAGGGCACTTGAGTATTTCTCTTTCTTGCGATGTGATCAATGATGTTTACTTGCTACTTCTGATGAGGGTTATTATCGTAATTTCATTCGCAGTTAATGTAGCTAGTTGTATCTAAGATGATAAAACCGGATTTACGATATAAAGATGTGTGCAAAAAAAAAAGGGGGGGGGGGCATGAATGATACAGGTAGATTTGTGGGAGCAAACTGTCATTGACTATGTTGTGTGGAGCGAGAAAATCAGCAAGGGAATGAGAATAAAGGAAGAAATGATCGCAGAAATGATGAGAGATGAGTCTTAGAAGAAAAACACTAAACACATGAAATGGCAACTGCGGTCCTGAGATCCCATGGTATGGTGCTGGATTATCATTCCCAACCCCGGCAGGTCTTGCTAGTCACACTCGCCATCGCCATGGTCTGTGAGTTCCATGCATCAGCATAGCACATATACTATCGTCTTGACAGACAAAAAAGTGTCACAAAATCTTAGGTGAAAAGAAAGTAAAGGATCATTAAATGCCGGTGAAGATTAGGCGATTAATGTTAAAAGCATTGTTGTATGGACCAGTCGGCCCACGCCGAATCAAGTGCTGAACATGACGCCGGTCGTTTTTACTTTCCCTGAAATTTCCTAATACCAATTTTAGTCTGGGTTAACCTGGAAGAAAAGGGCAATTTTGTTTTAAATCGTCCGGCGCGCATACGAAAATAAGGCAAGCGTCTTGCCACTACACTAACGAGGCTCCCCATAGAAGTAACGTAAAAATGAAAGCTAACCTGGGATACTCATTGACATACGAACTGCTAGTCTCACTGGCATGTCAGGTGTGGTCTTCGGGTGACAGTAGAGAGTTGTCATCTGGTTGAGATTGGTGACTACAACACACAGCTCACGGTGGTAACGTTCGTACACCTGACAACAGGAACAGTTGTATAAATATTGACATTATATTTGCTTACATGTACATAGACAGAAATATAAGTCACAGGTACACGATAAGTCTTCAAATGGTTAGGACACACTAGGATGATGAAGGATGGTAGAGTCCCTAAGGAAATCATCTATAAGGAATTACAAATGGGTAGATGATGTCGATGTCGACCTCTGCTACGACCCGTTTCTTCTTGGTGTACAGATGCTGAGGTCACACCGTTAGATGGGCTGCCTCTTTGAACTCGCATTGTTAAGATATAAAGATATGTACGAAAGGGACACTGTGAGGTCATAGTCATGCTGGTGGGGAAAAATGGAGATGTGGTGGGGTGAGGGGTTGGGGAGAATCAATAAGGAAATAGGTATGAATAAGAAAATCATTGAGAGCTGAGCATCTGAAAAGAATGACATTCGATACACACTATAGTAAAAATGGTCCTGAAATCCCAGACTCTAATAGTGGGAAACTTGTCATGACGGGAAGGGGTCTGGTTTGCCGCACTTGTCATCGCCTTGGGCTGTTATTCTCATGTCTCAAAATAGCACAGTATAACACAATGGCATGGACAGATAGTAAGATGGCAACAACAACAGCAGCAACAACAAAAACAAAATTTGAGAAAAAAAAATCATACAACGCGCGCGCGCGCGCGCACACACACACACACACACACACACACACAAAAATAGTGATACCTGTTTAAAAGTTGTATCCATATCTCCAGTTTTATCGCATATTCTTTGACCAAACCATTTGTAGATTCTATTCCCAGGATTCCAGCCATAGGAAGTCAAGAGGTTTGGAAGGAGACTGAGATACCCAAACTTGTGATCTGTCAATGAACAGTGATAAGGATAATAAACTGGTAAATAGGTATTTGTATGTGTTGTGAATTTGAGATCCCGAATACAGTTTGTATGTGTGTGTGTTTAATTCTTATAGTACAAGGTCCGACAATTAAGTAATGAGACTGATTTTATTATGGACAAGACAAAAATGTCATCTATGAAGCAAAGCATGGAATCTGAAGGGTCAACATTCATCTATGATCTGGCAACTTTTCTTCGCCTCTCGATAAGCAGACAACAAACAAGCCGCTCTTTTATTGACCTAGTCAGAGGTGCATCGTTAGGTAATCAGCACGAAGCAAAAAGCTAACATTAAATTCTTTTTAAAACTCAGAAAAGGCGCCATTGAAAGAAAGAGCTTAATTCATGCAACAAGTTTATGGGGTTAATTGTTTATCTCGTGAACAAATATTCAGGTGGTATTTACGATTTAAAAATGGTGTTGAAATTATTACTAATGCACCTAGACCTGGATGCCACATTTCTGTTCGTAATGATGAACTCATTGCAAAAGTCAGAAAACGGATACAAGAAGATCATTGTTTTACTGTGAGGATGATGGCTAATGAATCTGGTGTTAACAGAGAGACCACTCATAACATTTTAGTGCAAGATTTCGGCAAGAAAAAAGTTGCTTGCCGGTTTGTACCACTTTCGTTGTCTGATGACCAAAAATTTCAGCGGGTTGAGTACCCAAGAGACATTATCTAAATAGGAATTTTTGTCCCAAAAACAAGTGTGTGTTCTCAGCCTTCCACCGAATTCCCCAGAATTGTCTTCCTGTGATTATTTGCTATTTCCAAAATTAAATTAATGATTGAAAGGACGCTTCTTTAACGATATTGATGACATCCGAAGGGCCGTAACAAGGACTTTAGGGGCCATAATAACAGAAAAACTACAGAGGTCGTTACAGTGTAAGTTAGATTGTGCCACTTCATGTACCAATGCACAAGGGGCTTACGTTGAATCAGATACAGGTTATATATTCAACTTGTGATTATTCAAATTGTTATGGAATTAGTCTCATTACTTAATTGTCGGACATTGTATTTGCATTATTTATCAGAAGCTTACGATAGCGAGCACTGTTTATGCATATGTTTATTTCTTATAGTTAGTACATTAATTTTTGGGAACTTCAGATTTCAGATACCGTTTGTGTGAATGTTTGAGTCCCAGGAGCGTTAGCATCAGAGGACCAATAGTGATAATGCAGTTTTGAAATTTCACAAGTGTAACACATTAAAACGTATATTAAATGCACAGATTTTATAAATTAAATTTAATTTTAAAAGATAAATTATTTTGAAAATAAGATTTTAACAAATCTAAAATAAATATTTAAAAAATGTAAAGATTATGTAGGCATTTAATAACAATATAAACAAGATACGCAAGGACTAAATTAAAAGTAAAACTATCTAAATTTTGTAAAGGAAATGATTTATGACATATTTAGGAGTGGGTAATTTAAACAAGTTGTGTAGATTGTGATCTGTGAAAGAATTAATAAAAGTTATTAAAAAAATTAAAATATTTCACGAACAGTACAAAACTGTGTACGCTAATGAAAACATACTAGTAGGAAGTGATTAAGGAGGCAGGCCAAATGTAGAGAATGATACAAACGGCAAAACAGCATCCCGATAAAGACGAGCATCTGTCTGTAATGGTGTATGACCAGGGCAAAAAATAGAAAATTGGAAATTAATTGCAGCCGACCTACATTGTGTACTCAGCACAAAGTGTCTATTAAAAGGTGCCACTAATCACGAGAAAGTGCATAATGTAGTAGTGCTGGGGAAAAAAAATGCATTAAACAAGACATCAGTACTGCGTACCGTCAGAAAAAAAAACCACCATGTTTATTGTACAATTTTTAACAAATAGCTATGGTCTTTAATTATTAATGAAAGCAAAACCTACAGGAAAGAATTATCAACAACAAGACTAAAAATAACAGCAGCAAAATTAACATCGACAACACCACCCAAGCAAGAGTTAAAATCCGTAGACATGCATATATAAAGTAAACATACCCAAGAAAATTTTGTTTAGATTAAGGCTGAAGAACTGCTCCAGGTCATGGGAATTGTAGCCCACTGCAAGAAGGGCCGCTGTCATGGCGCCGGCGCTGGTTCCTGCAAGTCGTCGGATCTGCGGCCATATGTTCAACTCCTCCAACAGCTGTAGGACAGATTACAGTCAGACTTTGTGAGTGAGGTATGTGGGTTTGTCCCCACCGGGCTGCTTCACAAAAGTTGTGATCTAACCTGAGACTGCAACAATCTCTGGATGGCACAATAATAAGGAAATTACGAGATACCCGATACAGCCTCCAATGAGGTCAAAACTGTGGGAGGTCAAAACTGAGGCACACTAAGTACTACTCGATTTAACCCACTGTCCTGTATTTGTAAAAGTCAAATGATGAATGAGATCAATAATGAATGACATCAATAATGAAAGAGATAAAAAAATGAATGAGATCAACTGTTGTCTACAATTTAAATGTAAATTACTCTAACGGTTTGTGCTTTTAAAATTATTTTCGTGAATTTGATTAAACACACACTCACACACACACGTGCGAACATTGAAAAACAGATAGTCGAACAAACATATTAGTTAACAAACAACTGAGAGATATCAGAATTAAAGGACACGGTTTTCAAACAAGATTTCAAAGGAAACTGTCTTTTGTCTTTGGAAAATTTCTGCACGAGCCTGTCGATCTAGTTAATCACTTACATACACAATGGACAGAACAAGAAAATGTATTCAAAACTCCGGTGAAATGATTATCTTTTTAGGCTAATAGAGAAAAAGGCACAGAGACGTATGGAGTTTAAGGTAATATCCTAATATTTGTATATACCTGTCTGTATCTAACACCCTCAAATGTATGTATACAAATTGGTATCTAATACCCTCATATTTATGTATATCAATTAGTGTCTAATACCCTCAGATTTTTGTAGACCCTTCGGTATATAATACCCTCAGATTTGTGTATACCAGTCGGTATCTATAATATGAGAATCAACACTGAAAAGACAGAAATAATGTCAATAGGAAAAAAGAAGACAGATCTAAACATAGCAATAGAGTGCAAAGGCATTAAACAGGCATCTGAGTTTAAATATCTGGGAACTACATTTACCGAAGATGGGAAATTGGATACAGAAATTAACATTAGATGCAGTTAAGCAAACCAAGTATTGGGACAGCTTTAGACAATCCCAATCAGCACAAACAGACATCTTATTCAAAGCATATTTTTTTCCAACTCTGTGCTACCAGTGCCAGACATGGTCACTCACAACAAACCATAAAAGAAAATTAGTAACCATGGAGATGAGATGTCTGAGAAGGGCTGGAGGAGTGACCATAAGAGATAAGATCAGGAATGAGATCACAAGAGAAAAAGTCGGCACAGAACCAATCCTAAATTACAAACGAAGACAGCAAGTGAAATGGTTTGCCCACTTAGAGAGAATGCCTTGTGACACCATACCATACAAAGCACACACGGAAAGAGAAAAAGGACGTATAGCACGAGGTAGACCAAGAACAATATGGAAGGATAACATCAGAGAAACTCTACAACAGCACGATGTGCCTATGGTCGAGGCAGCCAGAAGAGCTAGAGACAAAACCTTATATCTCCCTCGACACCCACAGCGGTAAAAGAGGAAGAGAAGAAGAAGAAGAAGAAGTCGGTATCTTATACCCTCAAATTGATTTATACAAATTAGTATCTAATACCCTCAAATTTATGTAGACCATTTGGTATCTAATACCCTCAGATTTGTGTATACTAATTGGTATCTAATACCCTCAGATTTGTGTATGCTAATTGGTATCTAATACTTTCAGATTTGTGTATACTAATCGGTATCTAATACCCTCAGATTTGTGTATACCAGTCGGTATCTACCTGGAGGCCGGAACTTGAGAGTGTAGCCACCCTAAGGTATACCCTCTCCCCCACTGTAAGAGTGGGGGAGGCAGCTAGCTAGCACCCACCTCTAAATTGTTGAGAGGCAAACGTCCCACTCGCACAACTTATATAACTTCTCTGTTAAAGTTTTGTTTATACACATATTATTATGTCAAATACATTATTATAATTTTTAAATTATTAAATTTTTTGGGCCATTCAGCATAGTAGTAATAATCACTTAAACAAAGCTTATGCTCCTTGAGGCCTCCTTCCCCCTCCCTCGAGAAAATTCTTAAGGTAGTTTCCCCATCTTATATTCTTTTGTCAGCGTCCCTGTACTAGGGACACACGAGGTAGTTGAGATTAACTGCTTTGAAGCTGTAGAAATATCAAGAAGATATATAAAACGGAACGAAAAATATATCAGCAAGCTACACAATCTAATGAACATAAAGAAAACGTGAACGTAAATAAATAAAACACAACAACACAAATACACAAAGTCACTTAAGATCCGTTTAATGTACCAGCTGCCGCCCCATTTTTGTTGAAGAGAATATCTTATGGTGTCAGTTTTAGGCTGGGCTAATCTGGGGACCCATAATCAAGTCAACATATTTGTTTCTCACTGTGTATTTCTGAGGGCTTGACCAATGGGCGGGAAGGTTAGCGTGGTAGCCACTCGGCTACCGCAGATTCCGGATTAATTAAAAAAAGTGGGCGCGTCTTTATCAACATCTCATTGTAGATTGTCACTATAGGAAACTCACTGTTGGGATAATTACAAATCTGAATGGTTTATTGTATTTTTAACCAGACGTGTGCATTGCTCTCAATAAGTTCCGCGAACGTGTTTAAAAGTAAACTTAAGGGATGTGAATTTACGGCTTTAAGCATTTCCGGCTAAGCCAATTAGACCTTCAGCAAGGCCGTGTCTAGATCTAGAGACGGCCTTGACGTTAGCATCCCGAGGAACTTCACTTCTCAGTCACTTCTTCTTCTTCTTCGATCCTTCTGTCAGAAAACTTTGCAGGTGAGGATTTTATTTTGCCCCCGACAGAAAAAATCCACAGCTTTATCGAGGATTCGAACTCTGGTTTCCTGATTGAGAGCACAGCAGTCTAACCGTTCGACCAGCCGCTAGCAGACTGAATAATCATGTCCTGAAATTATGTTTTTTTTTTTTTTTGTGTAACCAAAAAAAAAAAAAAAAAAGTGTCATCAACTTGAAAAGTTGTGAAAGCTCTGATTTAGATAATATCAGTTTTTTTTAATGTAGATAGTATCAGGGCCGCTGCTTCTCATTTAGAGGACTTTTCTTCCGGTATGAGATTAATCTTTTTTAGCTTTTCCGTTTCCGCTGATTTCAGAATAATTCTAAAACAGTAGTCCTATGTTTAATCCCACTTGCTTCGCCCGTCCAAACTTGTATGCAGTTTTTACACTCCCACAATGCAATTTTTCTTAAGTTAAATAAATTATACAACGTGCCCTGTTAGAAAAAATTAAACTAAGGTAGGTTGGCATGGGAGAGACTAAATCATTGAGAAGAACAAATTTAGTTGCAAAATGTAACCGACAAAGAACACATTTGGACAACTGAAAAATCAATAAAAGACGTGAACAACCAATTTAGAAGGAAATTCTAGTCATATAAGAATTATGCCGCGACGCAGAGTGAGTGAGTGAGAAAGAGAGAGAGAGAGAGAGAGAGAGAGAGAGAGAGAGAGAGAGAGAGAGAGAGAGAGAGAGAGAGAGAGAGAGAGAGAGAGAGAGAGAGAGAGAGAACAAACGAACGAACTTTATTTTCAAAGGTGTGTGTGAATGGGTGAGCGTGTGTATGTGGGTGTATGTATGTGGGTTTGTATATGCACGTGTGGGTTTTTGCATGCACTTTACAACTCATGCTTTTGTGTTCTTTTATAATATTCATAATATGCATATCATCATAAGATTATAACAAGCTTTATTAGTAAAATACAACTGCTGTGCGAAAGATGGTTGACTGGAAGGGCCGAATGTAAGACTGGCCTACGTGCCTAATTTGTGAACCTTTAAAAATAAAGAGAGAGAGAGAGAGAGAGAGAGAGAGAGAGAGAGAGAGAGAGAGAGAGAGAAAGAGAACGTTGGGAGCCTGGATGCCTGATTTAGACAGGAAATGTAGATATTCTCTACCTGACATAGATGTTTTTATGAGCAGATTCAGATCACCTTCTGCTGATAAGTGAAATTAAAGAACTCAAGAGATATCCAACATCGATTTAAAATGGAAATCAGTACAATATAAAATACCCAAGTCCATGTGAACATAGAAAAAAGTCAACTGTTAAGCTTTAAAAATCAATGATATAAAGAGAAAGAAGTAAAGTAACTTTCCAATACCCCTCCTTTCCAGATTTCAGGTTACACGTACTTTGTAACCCCCTGGGACCCCAGTAGAATAATCTTGCGGCTGAACGGGGCTTACCAACATTTGCACACACAGTATAGGGTTCTCATCTTTAAGGTTTTTATTATAAAGACTACAATCCTGGAGAGGATAAACTACAAATAAACAAAAGGAACGAGAAAAAAAGAAGCAAGGATATCGCCCACATTTTAAACAGAAAAGATGATAGAGGAAAGAAAAGGTACGAGCGACGTTAGCATTTTGGTAAATGTGCTTATGCCCCAAAACCAATCTTTGTTTTTTCACTTGCAGTGGCAAGATTTGTTTTCGGTGCAGTACAAACAAGGCTGTCCCGTTACAGGAAATGAATGCCAGATAATTTTTAGTTTCCCCGGGACTGTATAGAAATCTGGCCACCCTATTATTTCACCTAGAATACGAAGTCCTAATACTTCACACCCAACGGATGTTTTTGCCAGGAGTATGCTTTCACGTGTTTTAAAAATTGGTAGCTTCCCTAACTCGAAAGCCACAGAAGTGTCAGTGTTTACAACCGATTACACATTGAGACGCAGAAGAGAGTTTATGTGCCAGAGGCACCTGTTAAATTTCTGCCTTACCACTTAATACCTAATCTGGGTTTTGCCTTCACACCCGCCTTCATGTTTGCTTCAGATACCTTCAAAACATCAGCCTCGCTAAAAGCCATCGAGTGCTCTAACACCATGTGGTTTAATTCAACATTTAACAAGCGATTTTGGTATTTTTTTAGGTTCGTTCTTGGCTGTAATGATGTTTTAGATCAGTGTTCCTCAACATGACGGCCGCGAAAAGTCCAAGTGGGCCGCCAAAAGAATTCTGCTTAATCATGTAACTAGGTAGGGTAGGTGGTTGTCTTCCAGTGTTTAGGAATATCCCCTCAAGGGCTTTCTATTTGTGTGAAAAGACTTTTTAAGTGGTGTAAACGATGAAAACCAGTGAAATCAGATATATTAAAATGCAACGCTTAGTCTATCAGAAACAACGACCCAGCCACATATATAAGGTTTTTTAACCCCCAAGCAGCAGATGACACATTAGCTGACAATAGTAACTCTGTGATATCCAATTTAAAAAAATTAACTGATATCTACATTTGTTTGTGTTTCGTGTTTAAATAACTGTCAAGTCGACTGTAAAACAATTTACTACGTAAATAGTCGCTGGGTCGCGGGTATAAACAGGCTGAGGAACACTGTGTGAGATAGTAGTGAGATAGCTTTACAGGACGTGAACATTTCAGCAAATGTGATTAGACTACCAGTATTTCATGGATTTTATGGGAATGGATCCCCTACCCCCACCGCCACCACCACTGCCTCCTGTGTCAGACTAGCAGTGTTTTATGGATTTTATGTGAAGTTATTTTCCAAATACTCCTGTTAGACAACCAATATTATGTGTATTTTGGAATGAAATCAACATCACTTCATGGATTTTATGTGAAAGGTTCTTGATACTGACTTCTGTTAGGCTATAAATATTGTATGTATTTAATGGGAATTGACTACGGGTACTTTTGATTTTTATGTTTTTTGTTATGAAAAAAGACATTAATGCCCAATGTCACCAAGCAGAAGTTTGCAAGGTAAATCACGGCCATGTTATATTCTAATGCTTTTTGTGACACTTCATGGATTTTATGTGTAATTAAAGGTTCTTGATTTTGAAGCACAAAAAACAGTTAGTAGCTTCCTGTTAGGCATTTATACGAAATATTGTAATGCCAACCATATTTCCAAAAAAAAAAAAAAAAAAACGTTGGTTAATTGACTACGGGTATTATTTTGAAATTTTTATGCTTTTTTGTACCTAGTGAGTAAAAAAAGACATCCTTAAAGCAAGCCCAATGTCACCAAGCATTTAGGAAATCGAGAAGCTGAACATATAGCAGTGCTGGTTGGGAATAAAATAAAAGTCGGCTCTGAAGGCTGCTCAACCTGAATGTTGTAGACTAATCGGCACTCGGTGGACGACGTGGTCAGCCTTTCTCTGGCATTCTTTAGTTGCCATGACTTTTACCTGGTATCTACTCAAGGCTGGGTCGATCTAGGAACCAAGGTCATTGTTGAAAAGAGTGCAGCACCGTCCGGATTGGAACCCACGACCTTCGGATCCGCAGGCGAACGTCTAGTCGTTACACCACGGTGGCTCCCACTTTGTCAAAGCTGAGGCCATATGTCGCTTGAGTCCACCATCAGGCAAACAGAGGACGATAGATGCAGTAGTAATACTTATGGTTTTATTGGAATGTAATTGTTTCATTCACATTTGTATTTGTTTCAAAGGGATTTGCCTGTTTACTTTTTTTTTCCCTAATTTCTGTTTGTAACAACCTCCCTACGAGTGCAGCCAGTTACATCTGGTAACAAACTGTGAAATGTGATGTTTGTTTCCTAATTTTATATGCACACACACACACACACACACATACATACATATATATATATATATATATATATATATATATATATATATATATATATATACTAGCTGTACCCGGCCACGCGTTGCTGTGGCATAGTTTGGCTTAACGGAAATGAAAGAAAATAGAAATCGCACGTGTCTAATACAATCATTGTCTGCTCAGATATAGAGATAGCCTTGGTTCCCCCCCCCCCCCAAATAAATCCACCTACTACTCTCTCCCTCATCAAAGATTTTTTGAAATGAAAGACAATGGAAATCGCACCTGTCTAATATAGTTAATGTCGCAATCATTCTCTACACATTTAGATATAGATAGTCTGGTTTTCCAACTTTAGAACACGCACCATATAATTGTGTCTTTATATTAGTGGTCGTTTAAATGGTGCTATTAGCACAGTAACAAAAGTGGTTATTTGGTTATCACATGCTAAAGCTGTTTGTATTTTTAAAGGAGACGTAAGTAAAGCTGCTACTGTACTTGTAAAAAACAAAGTAAGTCGTACAAAAATTAGAATAGTGAAGGTAGCGTTAGTAAAATATAAACAATTTAAGTAAGTAATGAGAACTTAAAAATCATGTGTAAAGCTCTTCAAGTTCTCTTAAATTGCAGTCATTACCCTCTCCTCTCCCCTCTTCCACCGACTACTGCTCTGTCCCTCTTCGAAGGATTGAAAAATCATCACCTGGCGATATTCTTTTTGTTGTAACTGACATTGACATCCCTGTCCATCCGGACTAAATTGGGAGCAGGAATTGTAATAGGTAGTGAATGGGGCTAATGTAATATTTACTGCATCATCCTTCAAGTACCAGTACAACAACTACCACGACCACCACCACAGTAGCTAAAATAATGTCACTGCTATCTCTTTTACCATCGGAGTAGACAGGGAGTCGTGAGCCAGAAGATTTGGCGCCGCATGGCTAGTGCTGTCGCCGCGGACTGGTCAGGTTAGGATGTATGATTTCGCTCCCCGACAGAAGAATGCCATAACCTTACCGGCGGTCTTCACATGAGAGCACTACGGTGTAACCGCCCAACCACAACTACTACTGCTGCTGCTACTTTGAGTGGGTAAAGCAGTTACTGTGACTTAAAGCTGTCTCAGTAATCAGTTTGCCTCCCCCCCCCCCCCCCCCAATTCACCGACTACTCTTTCCCTCATCGAAGTAGTTGAGAGGGGGGAAAAAACCAGTTGAAAAGCAATTAAAACAGGAAAAATACACCAGAATTAGGAAATGAACGCTATGGTAAACAGCACAGCTTAAAATTCCAACGCAGATGAAATAATTAAATCTAAATGAAAACAAATGGAAAGCTAAGAAATTTCAGCATAACCATGCAATCGAACAGTTTAAAATGAAATCATAAGTATGTGAAATGGTCAAATTTAATTATCAACTGGTTTACCCACAAACCTGTCCTTTTTTTTTTTAAATATATATCATTAAGGGCCATTTGGCTAGTGCTGTCGCCACGACAGTTCAGGTGAGGATTTTATTTTAGCCCTAAGTAAAAAAAAAAAAAAAAAACTACTGCGGATTCGAACCCTGGTCTCCTTCTCAAGAGCCGAGTGTTCTAACCATTCGACCAAGCAACCATGTCCCGATTATAACACAACTCAAAACAGCAGGCAATTGTTTTCTCATAGACAGATATTCCAAATATATTAATGAAACGGCACAACAAAAGAAATCGCACGTGTCTAACACGGGTAATGTCGCAGTCAATGTCTGCGCAGACGTCGAGATATTCCCTGATGCCCCCCCACCCCCTATTTTTCCCTTCCAATCAATCTGCTACTTTTCAACTCATCGAAGGATGTTTGCACGGCGCATGCGCAATTACTAACGTGGCTATAATTAGAAATCACTAAAGTTATAAATATTAGTTTCGGATATTATGGCTTAAATTGTGGTCACCTATCTCTAACAGTGACAGGTTGAATTTCAAACCACGATGGTTCAACATCCGGTATCAAAACAAACACAGTTTGAGTCAGAAGATATTGAGAAAAATGTCCATTGAAGCCTTTTGGCAATTCAGCTCAGAATGTTGATAAAAAATATGGCAAAAAGCTGAATACAAATATTAATGGTGTATATAATGTGGACTCATAGAGCAATAAGGAATTAAGTTTTAAAGAAAATAACAGAGGACAGGCAGAATTACATTAACAGAATGTGTTACTTACCCTAACGGCACCACAGTAAGCCAGCCCTTTGTTGCCTCCTCCCTCAAAGACAATGTTCTCAAACGGATACAAGTACATCTTAGGATCCACGGATCTGGCTTTCTTGTCCTCTGTGTTAAAGATAGAGAAGAAGTTTCCTCGTTTACTCAACCTGATATACTTGGCTTTCTCCCGCTTCTTGACATGGCTTGCTTTAGATGGGGCACTATCTGTTTGTGTGACGTCTGTGTTGATGTCTGACACATTATTACGGGCAGCTGTTGTCTGGTTAAGATCTTTATTTACTTTGGTATTCCTTTTAGTCAGTGTTCCATCTTCTGATGCGGTAGAAGCGCTATCGTCAAATGCAGTGTTTATTGTGGATAAGAGAATATTGGTAGTTCCTACCACCACAGATGGATCTAGTGGTGTGTCCTCAAAGGCGTCATCGTCGAAGTCTATGGAGTTTTCCATGTCGTTATCGTCGAAACAGTCGTCATGTTCATCCTCGATGTGACTGTTGAAATACTTCCTCTGGGCTTCTCTGATGATCTCTAGGGCCGTGACGACGGAGTCGGGTCTGTCTTTGTGGTCACTGTTGCTGCACTTGTTGCCCATTGTGGTGCGGTGTGCTGTGAAAGGAAGAACATTCGATTTCTGTACATTATTTTATTATAAAAGTTAGAGTCAAAAAGTAAAAGACTCTTCCATACGTTCAGGCGTCTTGAGCATATAGGGCTAGACATATATTTTATAGACCAATCAACGTTAAGTGGCTGATGTAGTCAGCATCAGACGGGCCTCCTTGACTTACGAAGAATCTATCTGAAAAAGAAGAAGAAGAAGAAGAAGCAAGTGGGGGGGGGGGGGGAGGGGAACTCTCCTTACTTCGGTGTCGACCTTGTCTGGTAACAGGAAATGTTTTGGGAAATAAAGGTGACTGGAGTGATATTGATCACATCACTCATCTAGTGTTTATTGTTCGATAAAAAAAAATATGAGTCTACCCTCATATGCTCGATAAGCCATTGACATGAAATAGGTCTTTTACTTTAACATTAAAAAAAAAAATTTGCTACTTGTCTCAATAATTTACATTTTACATATTTTATTAGTTCCGTAATTTAAATATATAGGAAGTATATTCTCGGAGGAGGACAGTAAAATAGTTCGGGAAAAAAGAAACAATATGCCACGGAGACACTGCACCAACTGAACCTGTTATTAAGACATCAAAACATAAGTATCAGCGCTAAGAAATATAACAATTATATTCACACTAGCACTGTGATACCATTGCGAAATTTGGACATTATCAGAGGCCGACCTACGTAAAATTAACAGCTATGAAATAAGATGCCTAAGAAAAGCCGCCAACTTAACCATCCGAGACAAAGTTAGAAACGACGTTATCAAACCGACTGTAGGAACAACACCATGCAGCAAATTCGTTTAGAAACCGATGTTTTGTCATCTAGTAAGAACGCAGCCAGAACAACTACCAACAAAGGCGCTGCACGTGAAAAAGTCTGATGTGAAACCAAAAGGTAGCCCTAGGGGAATTTGTGGTTCTTTCGTAATATACTATCCAAGATGAGGTCACAGGACAGTCCAACATTGTAGAGGCTGGTAAGCCTGGTTTCCCAGCTGTTTGATGCCGTTAACGACCCTAAAACATATAGAACTGACCCTAATCCCAACCCACCTACGTCCCACGAGAGAGTGCAGCCTAGGTCCCACTACTGCATGCTGCCTATGTCCCACGATTGCATGTAGTCTATCTACTACCCCCTGAAATCTTTGATTGTCCGGTGACCTGTGCATTTACCCTGTTTGGGGTATGATATTGAGAAAGCACCAAATATGCATTGATGACATTAAAGAGCTTATATATCGATACAGAATCAATGAATCATAAACTGTTCCTCCCCGTGACGCTTAAGAGCAGAAGTGTAAAGTGATGATGATGTATTATTCTGTTATTACTTACTTACACTCTGAAATTGGAAGATGTGGCTGCTTGCTTGAATAACTGGCAGCAATATATCCAAGCAGATCAGAAAACAACACAGTCAAGAGATAATACAATAAACACCATCTAAACACAAGTATCACACCGTGAATAAATAGCAAATCTGGGGGGGGGGGGGGGGGGGGGGTTGTTCACACATGAGTGGTGTCAATAAACACAAGAGAGACACAATCCCCTTCGTTGGAAAATTTCGTTTGACATAGCCATTGTTGTGTAGGATCTAAGCACGGGACACTCAACACAGCACTTAATACTATCATAAATGCACAAACACAAGTGTACATGGCCTCTTTGTTTTTTCCCTTAAGCAGGTTAGGTTTCTAGGTTGGAAAGCTCTTCCTTTTCGAGTCCACCGGAGGAGCATTAATTTGTGATAAGTTGATGTAACGAGTTAATGAAGATGATTAATGTCGTACGTCAGCGGTTAATTTTGTGTGTGGAGAATAGATGCAGATGAGGATTAAACCGGGATGGTAACGCTTTTGTTCTTTTCAATGATTCTCAGCTTGTAGGTTAGCCACACTGAGTTTTGATGATGTACATTAGATACGTCGGTCTCTGTGGCTTATGCGTTGCAAACGCGCTTCGTAATGCCGGGCTACCGGGTTCGATCCCTGCTACGGACGGTTTGTCTTGCATTGGTTTCGACAGTAGTACTGAGAACTGACCGTTTAGTAAGCAATGGCAACCTACTGAACGTTAAATTTGCCTAGAAAAAAATCAAAGCAGCCAAAAAATGCTGAGGTTGGTTCCCCTCAAGGTCCTTTAAAGGATACCCAACTAACTATTATTAGATACGGAATAAGCAGGTCTCCGTGACGGGTGTTTGTCTTTTAGCCTTCTTTTTTGAAGGCTGTAGGTTCAATTTCCCACTTCATTGTTTGGTCTGCGAGTATAGGGGTTTTAAAGAGCCCAAGTGGGTCGTTGCTAGACCTACTGAGTTCGTGCTGCATGCAATGATCTCGCAGACGACCAGCAAGTCAACGGAGAGAGATCCAGTCACAGAGGATAAAAGATAATGCAATGAAAAAGATCCTCTCCGTCTTGTATATGTAGCACAGCCGAAGTAAAATCAGTATTTAATACGACGAAGAACAGTTGATGCAATCTAACATCGTCAGTTGAAGTGATTTTTTTTGGTTGGTATTTTCACTTTTTGTTTAGGAAGCCGCAGTAGTGTAACGGGTAGACACTCGCCTCCGGATTGGAAGGTCGTGGGTTCGGGTCCTGAAAGGGGACCGGATTTTTTTTTTCAAAAATATCCTAGGCTCCTAGGCGGACCCAGCCTTGAGTGGGTAGCAGGTACAATCCTGGCAAGTAAAGGTTGCGGGCGTGATGCTGACCACATTCCCCCCCCCCCCCAAGAGCTGTTTAGTCTTTAAAATATAGGTTTAGCCCTATATACCCAGTACGCCTGAAATCATGGAAAAGTTCCTTTACCGTTTTTTTTTTTTTTTGGTTTAGTTGTTAATTCTTCAAACGCTACAAATCCAGCCATAGCATTTTTGTGTGTCGTGTGTTTGGTTTTACTGATCAATTTTCCGTTCGCTAGTTTGCCATTACCATAGTACGGTCGGGTTTTAATATTATCTTCGAATTCACCACAAAGAAGTCTGCTGTCTAATCGCCTACAGTTGGAATCGAACTGGGTAAGCGGGAATTATGAAGCGCGTTTGCACCGCCTGAGTCACAGACTTTGACTGTTTTTCTGTCCTCTTTTACCCTACCAGAACATTACACAAGCTATAAACACCCGATGACACAAAGTGCCACCATGAGGATGACCCGTGGAGAGGTCCCAGAAACCGCGCAGTCATTAGACCATATTTATAACCGGGCTATATTACGGCCCCTGGCAAGAGCTAGCTAGAGTAGGGCTTCAAAAAACAAAAAAATTACATACCATAGAGGGATGGCAAGAGGTAACGTTGAATATTTTTACTTACATGATCCAAACTTTTCAGCTTTCGCATGAGTTGTTTCATGAACTGCAATTAGTGCTATATGATCACAGTGGTCCTAAATGCACACACCAACGCGCGCGCACACTCACACACCCACCCACACCCACACAAACACACATTAAAGCAGTGATATGCATTAGCTCCGATACACACACACACCCACATAAACACACATAAAAGCAGTGATATGCATTAGCTCCCATACACACACAAACACCCACACCCACACAAACACACATTAATGCAGTGATATGCATTAGCTCCCAAACACACACACAAACACCCAACCACACCCACACAAACACACATTAATGCAGTGATATGCATTAGCTTCCACACACATACACACCCATCCACACTCATACAAACACACATAAAAGCAGTGATATGCATTAGCTCTCATACACACACACACACCCATCCACACTCATACAAACACACATTAAAGCAGTGATATGCATTAGCTCCCATACACACACACATGTACACACACCCACCCACACTCATACAAACACACATTAAAGCAGTGATATGCATTAGCTCCCATACACACACACATGTACACACACCCACCCACACACATACAAACACACATAAAAGCAGTGATATGCATTAGCTCCCATACACACACACATGCACACACACACAAACACACATAAAAGCAGTGATATGCATTAGCTCTCATACACACACACACACCCATCCACACTCATACAAACACACATTAAAGCAGTGATATGCATTAGCTCCCATACACACACACACATGTACACACACCCACCCACACTCATACAAACACACATTAAAGCAGTGATATGCATTAGCTCCCATACACACACACATGTACACACCCACCCACACACATACAAACACACATTAAAGCAGTGATATGCATTAGCTCCCATACACACACACATGTACACACACCCACCCACACACATACAAACACACATAAAAGCAGTGATATGCATTAGCTCCCATACACACACACATGCACACACACACAAACACACATAAAAGCAGTGATATGCATTAGCTCCACCCATACACAAGATTATATAAAACTAACGCACCCAATGTTTTTCGCCGCTTGGCATCAGGCTAGTGATTCCGAACGCAGCGTACACGTCTGATCCTTACCCACACAGAACTGCAGCTTACTCTGGGTTGGTGTTGCCATTACGGGAGCCCCTATTGTAATTTTATACGAGATGGAATATGCTTTCTGGTATTTGTGCTGTTAATTCGTCATCTCGAAAGAAAGAAAGATTCCCCTTTCACGCCTTGGGTGCTTCGGAAATATGGGAAGAGCACATCATATTTTTACAGACCAATCGGCACTGGGTGGGTAATGTGGTCAGCTCTAGGCCGGCCGTCTTCATATTTCCCCAAGAACGTCCATCCTGGTACCCGTTTACGGATGGGTCGACCTGTGACGTCCCATGCTATGATAAAAAAAAATAAAATAAACGCAGCCAGCAGTGAGTTTCGATCCCGTTACCTTGGAATTACGAGTCGGACTAGCAACGCCAAAGCAACGGACGCAGCTTAATTCGCCATCTAGGATAAGATGATCGTGGTTTCAAAAGGTTCAACAGCTGGGGTGATATTTGATTATGCACGTAACTGCACTGTCCTCTTCTATTTGCAACAATAAGTCTCAACGAGTCTCAGCTCAGTGCAAGTAGGAACCCGTACGGCTACAATGCATGCCTGTGTCATGCAAATGTTTCTTGTACTGCCCCTGCTTCTACAGTGGAGCTCACCCTTCGGTATGTATGTTCCGTGAACACATCAACGGCCAATTCAAAGCAGCCAATTTTTCAAAAGCTCTCTCATTTTTTCTACGTCTGTCATCACTTGTACATTTCTGTGCAGCGCCTTTTTGTGCCTTGGAAAACGAAAAAAAAAAAAAACTTCCCGTCTTCTGAACTTTTCTGTTTATGGTGCAACCTCTGTTAACAGTGCCAGCTAATAAACCACACAGTGGAACAGAAAAAAAAAGGGGGGGGGGGGGTGGGTTGGGGTCAGACACGTGGTGGTGATTATTTTTTTTTTGCACCACACAACTTACTTTTTCCCAAACGTGTTTACTGTTCTTCTAGAATGGAATGCCTCTCTCTCTCTCTCTCTCTCTCTCTCTCTCTCTTCTCTCTCTCTCTCTCTCTCTCTCTCTCTCTTTCTCTCTCTCTCTTTCTCTTTCTCTCTCTCTCTCTCTCTCTCTCTCTCTGTCTCTCTCTCTCTCTCTCTCTGTCTCTCTCTCTGTGTCTCTGTCTCTCTCTCTCTCTCTCTCTCTCTCTCTCTCTCTCTGTGTCTCTGTCTCTCTCTCTCTCTCTCTCTCTCTCTCTCTCTCTCTCTCTCTCGCTTTCTCTTCACTTCACAACAAAGCGGGAGCTGTGTTCAGGTTCACAGAAGCCGTCGTCTGTAATGATTTGACCAGGAGAGAATATTCTGCATTTGATAAAAGGTTGCTGCCCCGATAACAATATTTGCTGCCCCGATAACAATATTTATATTTTTGCGTTTTAACACACTATTATAATATCTGTGTTAGAACGGTTTTCTGTGTATATCAAATAGATGTACCCTGCATAGTGTTGGATAATTCAAGCACTTCTTTATTAGTCTTTAGTTTATGTGTTAGCTTAGCTGTAAATCTAGTAATTGATAAAGAAACAATATATTGGTCGGGGCTCATAGAAAGAAGCAGAAAGACATATTTAAAAAAAATATATATATAGTAGCACGTACAGAGGGATGGAAACATGAGTGGTACAAATAATTACACATTGTATTGGGGAAGAGGGAGGAAGGAGGCATAGCCTATTTTAAGTGCATACAAATTAATATAATGGTCATGATGATGATAATGATGATGATGATAATGATGATGATGATAATGTGCTGAATGGCAAACATGAAATAATTATTTGATATTGACTACTTCCCCCATTGAGTGATGATTGGTATATAAAAATATATCTAGCATCATATGTCCGAGACACTGGTGGCGTGGAAAATGTTCTTTTAAATGTGCACTCGATCATGCGTTCCCAGCTGAGGGCAGGGCACCGTCGCAGAGAAAATGTGGTGGCAGGGAGGGGTGAAGAAGGGGCTGTGGTGAACTTAACCCTCATACACATTTCATACGGGGGTAGCTCATGTGTCATAAGCATTGTTTCATAACATAATAATAATATTATCAATAAGCTGAATGTTAAATGTATATAATACAGTTTTTGAAATAACATAACTACTTTTAAAAATCAATCCATGTCCTACAATACTGGCTGAAATAAAAGTATCTGTTTTCTAACATCAAGATCATATATATATATATATATATATATATATATATATATATATATATATATATATATATATATATATATATATATATATATATATATATATATATATATAAACACTGAAAGGATCATTTGTTTTTTATAACTGACACTTGGATCATAACTAAGAGACATGATGCCTTCTTACACATTTTCGAAAAAAAAAAAAGTCTTACGGCGAATCTTTATAACCATTAAAGATGCAAACAGTGGGGAATGAATAAATCGAAGCAATAAAGAAATTTATAATCATGAAAACTAACAGACTGAAATGGCTGAGAAACTCTGATGACAGAGATGTAAAAATATGTACACGAGAGAGCTGAATGGTCGTAGACAACGATGCAGACCAAGAAGACGATGGAGAGATACTATCCAGACAGACCGATAAACACTTAGTGTCACCAAATGGAAAAAGAAAGGTCAACCAGAGAGATGGATGGAGGCGGATGATATCTGCAGCAGTGAACCTCAATTGCTCGGAATGTTGAAGAAAGAGGAGAAGGAGGAGATTGAGGATAAAAAGAGAAGAAAAAGCATTTCTGAAAATCTAAAAAGAGAACTTCTATACATGCGGAGAAAAAAAAAAAAGGGGGGGGGAGGGCAAGGGGTGGGTGAGCAATTTAATCCTCTTGCAAATGTTAAAAAAAAAGATCGTTTGGGCGGGGGGAGGGGGACAGTGTGTATTTAAGGTGCTCAATCACCGCCCTTCCCCTCCCCTCATCACAAGTTTCTGTGATCCTGTTTGAGAGACATTCCTTAACCATGACATGCTTTTCTTTTTGCTGTTTAAATGGAATTAGATAAAGATAATTATACGTGTTGTCAAAGTGCAGATAAGTCACGTAGCCTCTGGTATGAGTTTTTTTTTTTCAAGCCCCTTGACACCCGTCGCTTTTAAATAAAGTGTACTATTGTTTTTTTTTTTTAAACCACATTTTTAACATATAGATCCCCAATAAAGTAGTTTCAAACGTTCCTTTTTTTTTAGGTTGTTAAACCCTAAATGAAACCGGAAACCGGAAATACACCCACCTCCTTAGACCCACCCACTCTGGCCTACAATCGTCACAGTTTTGTGGTGCCTCAATAAAACTGCAATATAGACATACTGTTGAACGGACGTTTTTAGGATTTGTACTTGTTTGATTATTATCCTTAGGATTACAATTCTACAGAGACTACAACCCTGGAGTGAGAAAAACGATTGTTATTGCTTGAATGACTCTTACATAAGTCGGCGTCTGTGGCTTAGGCGTTGCGAACGCTTTTTGTAATGCCGGGGTGCTGGGTTCGATCTTAGCTGCAGGCCCTGCGCCTAGCGTTTGATTTCGGCAGTGGTATCGAGAAGCGAACCGTCCAGAAAGCAATGGCAAACTACTGGACGTAAATCTGCCTAGACAAACCGCAATAGCAAAAAATGCTGGAGTTGGTTCTGCAACGTCCTGTAAAGGACACGCAACTAACTCCTAAATAAACACGACACATTAAGAAGAATATGATGTTTATGATAAAATATGTGATGAAATACCTACGCATACTGAAATACAAAATATACACTGATGGGACATATCTTTTTTACATGCAATGATTTCCGGTGATTTCAGAATAAATGCATCGTTACAACATTTGTCACAGGATCATATGCAGTATTTAACTCTTTGAGTCTCAGAGAGTTTAGCATCAGAGGCCCAAGGGATAGTAAAAAAGAGACTTAAATCGACGCATCTTGCGTTAATTGGGTCTCTAGGTCAAAACCTATGAACGTATGATGCGTTCTTTGGGAATTAATAGTTAACTTGCAGTTAACAGTACTCCCACTCGCGTTCGCCTACTCGCAACCTACTAAAAATGTTGGGTCAGGTTAATCCCTTTTACCCTTAGATATTTCAAAAGCTATCACTAAAATACATGGGAAAATGTAGCCAATTATAACAGATCAAGTAAATCACACGTTTTCCTTTGTTGTAACCTCGTTCCTAGGCTAGGAGTTATGCACATTAGTAACAATGTTGTCGAAGAATAAAGAACAAATTATCAATTTAAATTTGAAAAGAAAAAAAATTCTCTCACAGCACTAAACAGTGTGTGAAAGTCAAAATAAATTAAACATAGTACCAAACAGAATATTAAACAACAAACCAATGAAACTGTATAAGTGACGTTCAAACCCACTAGGACGGAACAGCGAGCGATAAATACCCGGTGTCACAAAGTGCCACCATTCGGATGAGAATCCTTCTTAAAAAATCCCAAAAACCTCGTTTAACCGTTTTGTTACCTAAGGGCCCGCGACTACAGTCGACAGGCTTTAAAAAATATTGCATCTAATATTGGGAAGGAGTTAAAAAAATATTAAACTATGTTTACAAACATAAGTGTAAAAATAATATATTAACCAACGTAACTAATAAACGTAATTCAAAATGAAAACTGTGTGCCAGCTTGGGGCTTCACAATAAAGATTGGCTGCAGCACCCACTGCTGATTTTGAGAATATCACACTCTAAGAAGACTTACGGACCTGATGAATCATGGAATAGGAAAATACAAAGGGAAATGTGGGAGTGTTCCCCGAGAGGGGATAACATGGGCAGAAAAGTGTGCACTAATATGGGATACCAGGGGCAGAAAAGTGTGCACTAATATGGGATACCAGGGGCAGAAAAGTGTGCACTAAAATGGGATACCAGGGGCAGAAAAGTGTGCACTAATATGGGATACCAGGGGCAGAAAAGTGTGCACTAATATGGGATACCAGGGGCAGAAAAGTGTGCACTAATATGGGATAACATGGGCAGAAAAGTGTGCACTAATATGGGATACCAGGGGCAGAAAAGTGTGCACTAATATGGGATAACATGGGCAGAAAAGTGTGCACTAATATGGGATACCAGGGGCAGAAAAGTGTGCACTAATATGGGATACCAGGGGCAAAAATGTGTGGACCGATATGAAGTACCATGGTTAAAAAACTGTGGACCGATATTGGATACAATGGGCAGAAAACTATAGATCGATATGTGATACTTTGGGCAGAAAAGCAGCAGCCCGACAGCAATGATCACCTATTTAACTTTGTCAGTCCCAAGCAGTGTTAATATCTCTCTCTCCCCCCCCCCCCCTTTTCCCTAATTTGTAATGAATTCATTTCAATAACTGTGCTGGTCTCAAACTGGCTAATTCAACCAGTGCAATTACAGCATTTGTCTAACCAGGGCATCAATCTTGGTGTCCCTGAAACCGTAATCACCACCATCGTTGTAGTGGTTGTACTTGCGGCGCCAGCCTCCCAGGGGAGAGTTCAGCTTGAATGGCCAGAGGAAGTTGGAGGCATACTTGAAGTTGGGGCCTACAGTCATGATCGCAAGGATAAGGTCCTCTACACAAATGATGTCCCCCTTGCCCAGTTCTTTCTCAACAACAGAGTTCTCAGTCAGAGCAATCCTTTGGTGGTTGACCTTTCCGTAGCCTCTCTTGTAGATCAGCTCTCATACTGTCTTCAAGTTGGGGACTCCCCAAGCGACGTATGGCTCCACAATCTTCAGCATGTTCAGTGTTGCCTTGTTGAGTCTGACGAAGACACCGTTGTTGATCTGCCTCAATCTGAACAGCTGGAGAGCTTTCCTGGGCCGCGGGTGGATGCCATTGATACCTCTGATCCTAATGACGAAAGCCAACTTAGGCTCAGCAGGGACATAGAAGTTTCCACTCTTCTTTGCGATGCGAGCAAGCCGGATCTCATTGCTCTCCGTGGCCTGGTGGTCCTTGGCATATTTCTCCGCTCGCTTGAACAAAACGTTCTTTGTGGCAGCTTGTTTCTTTTTGTAGGCTGCTGCTACCTTCAGGGCCGTAGACTTACTGGCAGCAACCACCTGCCGCCTCTGCAAGATCGACTCAGGTACTCGAGGTACTTTCTTGACCTGCTTGTCAGCCATCTCGGTATTTGTTAAGACTTTACTCCTTGATTTAACTCCGCAACACACTGTACTCACTTAGTTTTTATATTTTGGTCAGTACATACTAAATAAATCTGGCATCCCCAAGTGGTTACGATGTCTGTATATATTGCCATTATAATGTTTTAATTCAAGATTTTTCGTCATAGTGGTTTTTCCCTCTTCGCTTTAATAATCTCCCAATAAACCTTATAAACTGAAAGCGTAAGTTAAGGACACTTGCACTCATTTGTGTTTACAAAGAAGAAGCATAACATTACATTTACTGACCTGGGCGAGTTATTTTTAAGACGGTCGTCAAAATGCTGGGTGATGTGCACTAATAAGACATACGCGTTAAGTGAGGATCGACTCTGATATATCGTTACTCACGCTGAGTTTTGATGCCTTCTTACGTAGGAATAGCCAGACCCCAGCTGTGTGTGAGTCGTGAGTTGACTCACGTACCCAGCAGACACTGACGTTCTCATCATTAAAGTATTAGATTATTATTGGAACGGCTTACATGAATTGACAGCTACGTTTTTGGGGACAGTAGTTCTTTCTGTGTAGGTCTAAAAGTAGTATTGGTGTCATTCCTACACACCATCGTCACCGTCTTACACCAATCACCTATTCAGATCAGCATCACCATCATAATCTTAATTCTCCTCCTCATCATCATGATCATCCACATGATTAATATCGTCGCAATTATCACCATCGTCGCAATTATCATCATCCTCACAATTATCATCATCCTCACAAATTTCATCATCGTCACAATTATCATCATCGTCACAATTATCATCATCGTCACCGTCTTACACCAATCACCTATTCAGATCAGCATCACCATCATCATCTTAATTCTCCTCCTCATCATCATGATCATCCACATGATTAATATCGTCGCAATTATCATCATCGTCGCAATTATCATCATCGTCACAATTATCATCATCGCCACCTTCTCCTCCGGATACGAAATAACAGGTAGTTAAAAGCGGCAAGGTTTAAATAATTTATTTTTTAATTTCTTTTTATTTTTATCTTTACTTCTTGATATCGAGGATTCAGTAGCAAGGACACATTTTTTTTTGCATTCAGAAAATTATGTTGACAGGTTTATCCTTCCGACACTTACCACGGATTTTATCCGGGTTTTGTTTTCTGTTGAACAAATAATATATGCAGTTGCTCACCATAAAGAGTCTTAACATATGTTCGTACTCATCAGGAAATGCATGTACTTCCCAAAAAGTGTCTTAAATGGTGCAGATACTCATCACAAAGTGACAATTACAGTGGTGAGGATAAAAATTATGCTTAAAAAGAGTGACGGTACTGTGTACCGTTACGTACAGTCAGAAATAAATCTCTGGTTATTATAGGAAATCGTGCTCTAGTAGCAGTATATTGTGCGTGCTTCAAGCAACTGTTTTGATCCTTGGACTGATGATTAACACATATAGCACAAGTACACAGCACATGGATGGTGGATCTGCACACTAATATACAAAAAGGTCATAACAACAGATCCACATTCACGTTAGTACATAAGTAAACAACACGTACACATTTTGTTTCGTTGAAAAAAAAAGTACCTTTACCCACCAAAAAATAGTGCCGATACTGTGAGTACACATACGTACACATACGCATTTACAAAAGAGAACACAACTAGAAAACACGCGCGCGTGCGCGCGCACACACACACACACTAGTGCGACAAGCACCCAACCCAGATTCACAATGAAGAGAACATTTACATCCTGGTGCAACTTCTGACCTGATTTCAAACACTTACAGCTGTACTATAGCTTTGGCTACAGAACTGACGTGCCTTCCCTGTCTCTTATAAATTACACAGCTGTTGGATATTTTTCTTTTTTTTTTTAGCTATTCGACAAGAACTTGGCAAACCAAAACAAACATGACAAGTGTTAAGAGTATAGTGGTGCTTTCAAGGAGTGAGTCTGTCGTTTTGGGGACCTACATGTTTGAATAAGCCGCACGAAAATACAAGCAGAAATATATGCACTAAACCAACAGACTCCCCGTGTGAGTTCTGGCTCCGTTGAGTAGGGGACAACAGAACAGACACACTAGTCCCCCCCCCCCCTTTTTCCCACAACCTCCGCCCATCGCTAATAAGCTTATTGTAAAAAAAAAAAAAAAAACGACTAATTAGGTATGTTTTGTCTCAAATAAAAGGCGAAGAATCAACAGTCTGCATACAAATAAGCCGGACCCGTTTAACCAGTGGTCTCCAACCATTTTTCTGGTGGCACCACCTTAAATAAATGGCAAGACCCCCACTTGACCCCCTCCCCCTTTTCCAAATAATATAACGTGATAAAAAGAGAAGGAACCTGTTGTTAACCTATAATTAAATGCCCTTGTTATCATAATATTTAGATTTTAAATGGTGGATGTACAAATTGCTTGTGAAAATAAACACGTCCTTGGCCTTTTGTTTCATTGTTAGTTATAACAAATTTATTTTTAATTAAACTGAAAAAAAAAAAATGTTAGTGTCACGGATTTTTACTAGTACAAATGCACCCATTTTCTAAATTCATCGGCTCCTCCCCCCCCCCTTTAGGAACTTCCTCACGCCCCCAGGGAGGTGCCCCCCTCCCCCAACGCAAAACTCTAGTGTTGTAACCAAGACTTAAAAAACCTCAAGTGGACAACAAACAAAGACTTTCCGCCTGAATTTACAAGACAAGTACAGTAAGAAGCTTCAATAGACTGTATAGACCCAGTGCTGACGTATGGAAGTTAATCATGGACAGTCAGCAGATTGATGAGAAATTTGCTTGGTGCCTGCAGTGATGTGGGACAGAAGAAGCAGGAGAGACGAAAACAAGAAAGGATGTATTAGCCATGCGTTGGTGAAACAGGAGCATGACGGTAGGGCACTGAATAGAACGCGGGCTTAAGCTTTTTATTATGGAAAAAAATGGAAAAAAAAGGGGGGGGGAGGGGGGCTGGGGGTCACAAGGGACCTAGGCTTCCAGAATCCGGCGAGCCGGGCGGTCACCTCTATTTGTTTTTTTTTTTTACTTGGTGCATGTCTGGCAAATAGGTTAATAGGAAAGGGCAATGTGTGAGTTCTTTGTGAAATCTCAGGGGCAAAAGTACACAGGTAGTCCTTAAGATCACTTAGGGAATATCTCATGCCAAGTTACATCTGGGTGGAATCGTTTGAAATACAGGCTTGTATGAGCTAAGAGTGTGACTGGTATTCACCGTTGCAACATAGATATAATCGATGTCTCCTTCAAAGTCGGAGCACATCTGCCTGAGTGGCAAGAAACCAATAGCCTGTCTACAGATAAACCAGATTTGTAATACGGATGTGCTTGTAACAATAATACCTTGCAATAAGTCTAGTCACAGACGAACAACCTGGACTTTCTGATAGAGTTTACAACTAGTAGCACAGAAGAAGATGAATGAGAAGAAAGACTGGGTAGGGTAGCTTTAGTCACATGTTGTCCATTACTTAGGAATGAAAGAGTTAAAAAGCATCTACTGATTGTGTCAGGCAGATGTTAACTCAGAGTTTTATTTTTATTGTTAACACTACTTTTTTGCATTTACAATATAGTGTACTTCTATCTTGTTTTTTCTTCTTCTTCTTCTTCTTCTTCTTCTTCTTCTTCTTCTTCTTCTTCTTCTTCTTCTTCTTCTTCTTCTTCTTTTTCTTCTTCTTCTTCTTCTTCTTCCTAGCGTTCAGCAGTTGTAAACTCCAGCGGAACGTTCTGATTGTTCGTCCAATTCTGGACTTGTCTTGTTTCAGAACTTTTTTGCTTGCACATCCGTTTTACAGATCTGCTTACTTGTATTCAGACTGTATGTTTCTCGTCTTCTTGAATAAATGTCAAATGCGCTCCGATTTCAAAGAAAGAATCTCTAGTTAAATGTCTATGATGACATGCTTGATAGGGAAACACTGAGAGGGTCTATTTATTCCCCCTCCTCCGACGGTAAAGCTCTGGAACTCACGCCGATAATTGATGTCTTCTGACCTAGAAAATGTTTACGTTAAACTGAAAATTTCGAGACAGGAAAAAATTAATTCTATGCAGCCCTACAACGAAAAAACTATGAAGCACAACAATTATTCTTTGCATTGCGTAAACACGGCTACAAATTAAATCTTCTTCGCCACACGGCTGTCATGCCCGACCTACCTCATCAGCCTTTCCCAAGTCACAAGACAATTGATGCTATCTAATACACAAACTGTGAATTGTTCAGTTCTGGAAAACTTCGGCAAGTGAACAATACTTCAGCAGATATATCCTCCTCTTCCAGTGACTCCCTCTTGCGCTGCACCCCACACCTCGGCTTCCTGTCGAGTTGCGCAGGATTGCATGTGTTTACCTCCGCTCCGAATGCTAACCAACGCAGGCAGAAATATCTGCTAGACGCGTGTTGGTGCATCTCAAAAGTCGTGCCTAACTTTAAAAACCTGTAACTCTGTAACCGTTCAGTGCAAACTGTTGAAATTTGACATGCAACCTGTTAAAAGTCGTGTCCTTTTAGGGAAAGAATTATAATTTCAATATACATTTAATTTTTTTTTTGCGTTATTTGTGGGGGTGGTAGAGAAACATTCACAAATTCTGAGGCACACAATTAGCATGTTTACACTTAATGCAACAGTGAGAATTTTGCAATTATCAATAAGTACTATAAAAAAAAAAAGGCGCAGATTTTGAATAGTCAGGACAATTACTGTATATTTTACATTAGTGGTACACAAATTATTTGTCCGACAAAGATCAAAGAAATAAGTCGCTTTAAGAAAACAACAGCGCCTGTGTAACTATATTTAATAAAATCAGAAAAACATCGAAAATCTGAAACCACATGCTAAAACTCATATTGTCCGCATAGGAGTTGTCGAGATATTTCTTAGTTCGGGGACACGACGTTTGAAACGCACTATAGTAAGTGCTACATATGTTTATTTATATTCATTCTTCTGACCTTGCTTTGTGTTCACTTCTTGTTGTAGGTACAGGGCGCAACACCACGCTTTTTCAGCAATGCATGGATTAACAACATTCTAATTCACTGATAAAGGATTGTTGTGTTGAAAATACGGATACAGATGCAAATATATTATGTGTAATGCACGGATAGAGTTCACGCTATCTATAATAAACGAGCGAAGAAAACATTCTGAATAATACAGGCATAAAAACATATACTATGATACATGGACTTGGAAAGGGGATGTGAGTTAGGGGAAGGGGGGGGGGACGGTGGGTTATATCTAATGTATGAAGTACACGCGATGTCTAATAAACTGATACATATGCATATTATGTATAATGCACACATAAAGGGCTCGATTTGTCTGATGAACGGGGGAAAAAGAAGGAAGGGGGGAATTATGACCAATACATAGATGAAAACATGTCTAATAAATGGATAATAAAAAAAAAGTTATGTCTTTATGTATGGACAAAGTACACCTCATGTCTAATAAATGGATACAATAATGTTTTGTCTAATGCAAGGATAAAGTATACGCTCAGTTTAGAAAACTGGTAAAGAATACATTCTGATACACATTCTAATAGACCTGCAGTCTACAAGAGTGAAAAGTATACCTTTTAAGTGGACGGTTGAATGGTCTTGCACTTTAGTTTGAAGGAGTCAAGGTAAAGCACCTGGAAATGCACGTGTACGAATTAACCGCTCTAGGCGATGTACTTCTCTTATGACACCACTGCCTGCCTAATGGCTTCATTGCTAGTTTCTGTAATTTGTGGTGGTGGTGGTTGGGGGGGGGGGGGGGGGGTGAACACAGGCTAATAAATCGTTCTTTTAAGGTTCGATTAAGCTGTAAATAAGTAAACAATATGGCAGCAACCCGTGTTGATTTTGACAACGGTGTGAGAGCTGACTATTTAGAAAGCAATGGTAAACTATTGAACGTAAAATTACCTACCAAAACCACAAACAGCCAACAAATTCTGGGGTTGGCTTGCAACATCCTGCAGAGGATTTGGAACTGAATTTAATCTTATGGCTGTAAAATTCCTCTGTCTGGACCAGAACCACATCTCTAATTAGTCATCACACCCTGAATGTTTGAAAAACGAAGCGCATTCTTCCTATTGGGAGACAGTTTTTAAAAGGGTGGGAAAATACAGGGAAGAAAAGAAAAGGGATAACAAAAAACAAATAGTTTATGTCAGCTTTACAAAATCGATCACAATTAACCTTCATCAACACACAAAAGAACAACACAGCGCACATACATAAATATACCCTAACTATGAAGTTACTACATAGGACTATAATGTACTAAATAAATGATACCCCTCTGTGTCCCTGGCGAAAAACTTCGGTCAACAGGATCAACAGGACAGGTGCTAACCTATATATATATAGCTACCGCGCGGACAGGAAGCGACAGCTGGGTTGGTATACCTAGGTAATGGGAGGAGTTAACGCCAACAGACACACCAGTGTACACTGAATGTCCAAAATGCGGTAGGGAGGGGTTAGCCAATATGGCGTAACCAGCGTTGGTTCGTGGGGATGACACTAGTACATCAACATGGGATAAAAGTGTGCCTGTGCTAGCATACAAATACCAACAGTCAGGCAGGCAAGCAAACAAGCATTCAGATGAATAGATAGAACGAACGAACGAACAAACTTTACTTTCAAAGGGTTACAATAGATAGATAGATAGATAGATAGATAGATAGATAGATAGATAGATAGATAGATAGATAGATAGATAGATAGATAGATAGATAGATAGATAGATAGATAGATAGATAGATAGATAGATAGATAGATAGATAGATAGATAGATAGATAGATAGATAGATAGATAGATAGATAGATAGTGGATGGTTTGGTGAAGGGATAAGTGGGTGGGGGATAGATGGGTGAATAGATAAATAGATGGAATGATGGATGGCTATGTTAGTGGATGAAAGGAATGTTAGATGAATAGATGGATCGGTCTAAACGTGTGCCAATATATGAAATCAGGTAAAAACTAAGGTCTCATGCAAAGTTGCTTCTCTCTCACAGTCTGCTATGAAAGAGACAGTAAGCATGGTGGATTGAGTATATGGTATCCAGTTGTGGATAGAGTAAATGATATCTAGTGGTGGATAGAGTATATAGTATCCACTGGTGGATAGAGTATATAGTATCCAGTGGTGGATAGATTATATGGTATCTAGTGGTGGATAGATTATATGGTATCCAGTTGTGGATAGAGTATATGGTATCCAGTGGTGGAAATATGGAGAACAACTAAGGCTATTACTTATAAACTACAAACATTCATTAGCTGGTGCCTACGCAGAATAGATGGAATTAAATGGTATGGGCATAGAAATAAAGGAAACCTAAAAATACACGAAGAAGGGAGCTAGAACGTAAAGTTAATAGAGAGGACGTGGGAAGAGCTACATGCAATAGCGAAGGACAGAACAACTTGACGTGAGTTGGTTGAGGGCCTATGCTCCATTAGGGGTTAGAAAGGCAGAAGAAGAGACCCACACTGTCAGTCTATCCCGTCCTGCATTCTTTAGATCATTCCTTCAGTGCTGATCCTGTCCTACCCATGTTGTCAACATATCCTCTCCAGCATTCCCTTCGTCATGCAATCATCCCGTCACGTCTGAATCTGTCCCATCAGTGCCACTCTTTTGAGACCCCACATTATAATTCTCGTGACATTTTCACTGCAACGCCCACATATTTTGGTGCAATAGAAAAGTTTCAGGTAATTGGTGTCAACTCTGTGGGTATTTGAAGGTCGTGAGTTCGGATCCTGAGGAAGCCCACTTTTTTTTTCTTCAAAAAATCACAATGGCTGCCAGCTTCACCCAGCCTTTAGTGTGTACCAGGTGCAGTCCTGGGAAGTAAAGGTAGCCGGCGTTTGCTGACCATACCACCCACTAAGTGCCGATTGGTCTACAAAATATAGGTGTTGCCATATATGTCCAATACGTCTAAAGGCGTAGAAAAGGGTCATTTACACTTTACTGTAGGAATTTAAGTTGGGGTGAGCCAAGATCTGATATCACAACACTCGAGATATTCCCATAAGCACCCAGTCATAATGTCTCACAGCCAACGCAATATCTTGGGCGTTCTTATTTTCGAAACGGCCATGTACAGTAAACGAGAAATAACAAGTATACTGGTAGCTTGCCTGCAAAAAAATAACCGCTCATATAAGTTATAACAACCAGTTCATTACTTGCCATGCGTACACTACTTCAACTCCAGAATCGCAAACTGACCAAATGAAAATTTCCGTTCTGCGAATGCTCATAGAGCCACCGTAATCTTCTTCTTCTTCTTCTTCTTCTTCTTCTTCTTCTTCTTCTTCTTCTTCTTCTTCTTTAGCATTTCGAGCCCTTGAGGTTCATTGCTGCAGATATCACCCATTCATCTCTCTGGTTGGTCTTCTCTTTCCAGTTGGTGACACCAAGTGTTTGCAGGTCTGTCTGGACATTATCTCTCCGTCTTTTTCTTGTCCTGCCTCGTGATCTACGACCATTCATCAACCTTGTGTATGCAGTTTTCACTTCTCTGTCATCTGACATTCTCTCAATATGCCCCAACCATTTCAGTCTATTAGCTCTCATGATGCCAGTGATCAGTGGAGCCACAGTAATATAATGCCAAATGCATGTCATCTGGCCATACATGTTGGGTTGGAATCCATATCAAAGTCCATATTTTAAATACATTAACTCCACGTGCATCCAAGTCGACCCAGCGTCAAACGGAAATGAAAAATATCACAAATAAGAAAAGACACGATGCTGAACATATCACCCATCCTGTTTTAAGTAGTCTATTAAAAAAAAAAGGCTTAGTTACGAAGACATTTTTTTTTCTCCTGAAAAAGGGGGGTGGGGGAGGTGAATGGGATGTCATCCATTCTCCATATTTTAACTTTCTAGGGACTTCAAGGGGCTAAATACTTGTTTAAATGCGCAATAATAGTAAGTATTTAAAAAAAATGAATAAACCAATATATGTTAAATAATTTGAAATAAATACCGCATTTCTCCGAAGATCATATCTACTCTAGAAATAAGCCATGATGAAATTTGTTAAATACTTCTAATATAAGCCTTAGCCCAAAAGTAAGCTTTAGTTAAGATATTCAGCTAGAATCAGAGACTTGTTGCCGAATGGTCAGTCGTGGCACGGACAACAGTATTGCACAGCAGGTTGTGACTTGGATAAAAAAATTCATGGGATAAAATCACCGACAGCTGTAATACACATGCTCGACGAGCTGGCTACATAGACCAGGAATGCTGATTTAAGGACATCTTTGCACTGGAGACTGGTCTAGCGGCTAGACGCTCGCCTGCCTGCGGATCGGAAGGTTGTGGATTCTGTTCCTGAGGGAGATCGGACTTTTTTTTTTCTTTCAAAAATGACATTGGCTCCTAGGTCGACCCAGCCTTGAATGTGTACTAGGTACAGCCCTGTGAAGTAAAGGCGGCCGGTATGACGCTGACTACATCACCAACCAGGTGCCGTTGGCCTATAAAGTAAAGGTCTAGCCATATATACCCAATACGTCTGAATTGCATGGAAAAGGGTCTTTTACTTTTTACTTTACCGTTTTACATGGGGGACTGAGGCTGATGGTTCTACAGGAGATAGAGTCAGGACTTAAAGAGTTATAAGGGTGACCCAGAAGACGATGACATGACTATATTTGAATAAATGTACAATTGTGTATAAATGTAGATTTTTGTTTCTGGAAAACAAAATGTATACCCCTTTGAAAAAACCTAGTGCATTTTTTTGCAGTACAAATTAATGTAAGACTTTTATTTGCTGTGAAACACAGTACGTGAGAATATACATTCAAGAGAGTTTTTATACATGAATAAAGGGAGCTCGTCAATTTCCGTCCAGACTTACTTCCACCCCGTCCACCATCCTGCTTCCCCGCCCTCGAGTTTCTAGCGCCCCTGCTCATTGATTGTTATCAGGTCATTAATTTTCAAAAGCTGCTTAATTTGTATTAACATATCCTGGTGCATTCAGTATCTTTCCTGGTGATCTTGACACGCAAAAATGTTCACAAGGCAAACTCGGAGACTTACTGACACCAATAATCAAAAGTTCGTAAATCAGTAGAGCACAATTGAAGCTACCAGTTTGTTACTTTCTCACAGCTAGTATTGTGTATCGCCCTTGTGTCACTGGGGCCCTCACGGGAAGCAAAGAATAGTAACACTGCACCCTACCAGACATGTCGTAAGAGGCAACTAAGGGTAGGGCTTTTTAGCTCATCCTGTAAAAACA